TAGTTTTTCGTGTGGCGAGTACAAGGAGGCTTATGACAAGCACCTTGCTAACCTCAAGAAATTCCATGTACGAACGAAGGACCACGGCATTCTCGATGGTATCCTGAAGGAGATCAACGACAATGGGAGGTAAGTGTTTTTTCATTATTAAAATCTCACAGATTTGCTGACGACGGTACAGAATCCACGCTAAGGTAGATCCGGCTGATGTCGGAGATGCAGACTGTCTCTCCGATGACGAAATTCACAATGCCATTCGCGAATACCAGCAGGGGAGTGGTGTGAATGAGACTGATGACGAGGATGAGGATTATGGTAGTCATTCTGAGCAGAACGGATGCGAAGACGAGTAGAATAATAATAAATTATAAATGCATATCATTGATTCATTGTTCTCATTGGTTTGAGTGGTATGAACTAAGTTGCTTACTATTGGAGGCTATGTGGCACTACATAGCAGGGCTACATAGCTGATGCACGAGATACTGGATACAATGTAGCACAAATAATGATATAGCCTGAGGTATATAGCGCTATGTAGGGGGGGGACCTGCAATGAGCCTACGAGCAGTATGTAGCCTATATAGCGCTATGTAGCACTTCGGTTTTTTCCTGATGATTGGCACGTAGGTTTGCGACTGACGGCATGTACAAAGTCTGGATCGTTGTCCAAGCGTCTATGCGGCGGAGGAGGGTGTTGCTACAGGTCAGAATGCTCGTCCGTTGAGTGTCGGTTGGATGTTGACCGAGTAATCCTGCATCTGCGCGAAGTCGACGTCTGAAGAAAAAAAAATAAGTGCATATTCATCGCGTCATCCACTTGGGACACTCACTGGGCATGTTCAAGATCAATGCCGGTGCTGATGAGGATACTGCAAGATACCTCGGAGTGAAGAGACACAGCAGTGCCATCCTCCAACTCCTTGGTATCTTGTTTGGCGAGCTCCAGCCGAACGGCTGCCTGTGTCATAGCTAGAAGAGTATTGGTTAGTGCGCCAATCCTTGTAAGAAAGAAATACATACTATCAACGCGTCTCTCAAAAGGATTAGGTTTTGTATGGTCAACCTCCCAACTCTCTATCTCTTCTCTCCATTTTTGAAGCGAGGAGGCACCTAGTTCAGACTCTCGGATAGAGTCTTCAAGTTCGGAAAGTGCAATATGATGCTCTTGCTCTGCTCTGACGGCTTCGATGACCTTCCGTAACAACACTCGACCTGAAGACGAGATGTGAGTCAACCACGTCAGCAGCGAAGACCAGATAAATACCTAGTGATGCAATCTTCTTCCAATTCCAGTTGCCAAAGTGGTCGTCCAGTGTGTCTCGACGAGCTCCAGGACCCATCTCTTTAGTGCTCGTAGCAACACGATTAATGTTTGCCCAGCCACGCTCGGGGGCTTCTCCATCTGTTCGACCAACGCCAGGTGACCAGTTAAGTGAGAACATCGTTTGACAAGCTTCCACGTGCGCTGCAATATGAAACTTCGGTACAAAATACCGGAAAGTCTTTCCAACAGGATCTGGTTGAAGGTGAAGAGGAAGCGAAGGGACATGGCCCCAGAGTTTCTTATGCCATTGGCATGCAATATCGTAAGAAAAGTTGATGACTTTGAGGCTCGAAAATGTCGACAACGCTGAAAAAACGAGATAGTCCATATTAACATATCTAAAGCATGATGTCATGAGTGCGCAAAAGATGCAGACTGAATACAGTACACGTACCTTTCACCTTTTTGCAAGTCCCCGACACCATTCGCCAACTTCATGTCATGGCGGGCACAGTCAACAGTGCCGACACCTGTAGCCGCAAGTCCCTTCGATATTTTCACATCCGCCATGTTCACTGCGTTGTGGTTGACGCAAGCGCTCCTCTGTTGACACTACTTTAATTTGTGAGAATGAAGAATGATGAATAGCACGCACCTCTTGTATGACAGCAGAATTATTACCTATGTAGGCCTTGTAATGCTTCTCGTTGACGAAATAGCCCCAGCCACCGCTGAGACCCGGATCTTTGGTGTCGGAGGAGATGGCTTGGCGCTTGAGACGGAAGTTTGCATCGATTGCAAGAAATACACTATACATCCACCTGAAATATGTTAGCATCAATCCTACCACCGACAATAGAAATACGCACTGTTGAGTTGAAGCTTCCCACCTGTCAGGTAAATTCTTTCCAGGGTGCGGGCATGCTGGGCACAGAAGAGCAAGTTCTCCTTCCTTAGTTGCATTGACACAAGCCGGATCATGGCCACGGCCAGCGCGTTTCAAGGAACGGAGGTTCCTCCACTCACGTACGATCCTAAGAAATGTTGAGTAGCGATCCTAGATAAAGTATGAGTCTAGCTGCATAAAAACATAGATAATGTGACGCACCCGTATTGGCGTGATTCCGGTGTTGTCGCTCTGGCGCGCCAAACTGTGGTAGAACTCGTATGTGGATACTTTGGATTCGAAGGAAAGCAGGTGAAAGAACTTCAACACCGCAAATGTTGCGGCGGTTCTGGGGTCAGTCGCTGTTGCGGGGAATAGACGTGCCCGAAGCAATTGTTTATAGTGAGAAGCTTTGTGCTCGCAACCACAGAAGTCTAGGCTGACTTCATGAATTCCGTGAGTGTCGATAACAACGAAGTCGTCATCAAACGCGGGGCTCGGACGACGACAAGCTTCTCCTGCCTTATGACCGAGCTGAATACGTAGCCCTAAAGATTTGAGGGTTACAGCATGGAAAAACCCATCTTTCCATTCCTAAAGTACGACAAAATTCAATACAGATACATTACGAATGAGAATTACTCCACCTCGATTCTATGGAACGGCATTCTGAGGTGCGACTGTAAGAGGCATGCGTGACAAGTTAGCAGAGGGGGGGAAACAGTCTTGACATCTGAAAGACGGTGATAATTCCCCGCACGAGCATTGTTCACTGGCGCTTTTGCCTCGCCCTTCAAGACAAATGAGTTCGTCTAAGTATATTTCGCGTTCATGCAGCCAAAGGGCGAGGGGATCATCCTAAAAGATAATCAAAAAAGTACGACAATAAAACTACATAAGGACTCACACCTGGTGTTCTCCCATGCCCTGCTTGAGATGGCCCATCCGAATGAGACTGCGAATCTTCTACTGCCTGGTAGAACTCAGTCTCATTCCAAGGGTCTGAGTCCACGCCAACAGCTTGTTGAGATAGCGCTTGCTCCTCCTCTTCTATTGCAGGTCTGGAAGCAGACAAGTATGATGTCCGGAGATTGAAGTTTCCGCTTGCCTGCAAACTGAAGTTGCGGTGCCTAGTGCTGGCCTGGCCAACAGTTTCGCTATGGATATGGTGGATGAATTTTGGGCGCTTGGATGGGCGACCTCCAGCTGACATGACTAAGAGACTGTAGCCTGAAGAAAAATAGTGTTGAACGACATGCTGGTGTGACAAGGGGCTGGAAGTTGCAGGGATGTATCCCCATGGCTGATAGTATGATGACATTGGCGAATCTGCCATACTAGAGCTTCAAAGGAAGTGGGCTCACCAAACGATGCATCAGGCACGTGTCCGATCATGTGATATTCGCGCCCTATTACAGCTACCAACCTGTCATTGTCGAAAGGTCTTGCGGAGGAACGCGCACGCACTGTTTTGGCTGACTCGATGTTTGACAAGTCTCTCGAGAAGTTGTGCGATTGTGTGCGGGACTTGGCCGCTGTAGTACCAGAGGTGGTAGAAGCTATCGTCGATGATGATGCCACTACTCATTCAAAGCTAACTGAGCTAGTAGAAACAGTACATGAATGTATCGAAAAGTCGACGACGAAATGCGTAAATGTAAGCCTTAGATACGGATACCCTTCTGGTACATAAGCTCTCCCATCGAGTGAGCAACCGTCAACTCAGTGATTCCTTCAATGTCCAAATAATACTGGACATCATCTATATAAGCGAGTGTAGTGCTTAAGAACCGGGAGACCGATTCAGTAGCACAAGACTCGGTCGAGACTCCACAGATAATTACGATTTGATCCTGCACTCGAGTTGCACGGCGGAGTAAGTGTTCGACCTCGGTTTTCGCATTTTGAATGATTGAGGTGTCGCCCTCGCCATGCATTTCATCCGGAAAGGTTTTGATATATTGAAGGAGGAGACTCTCTGTAAATGCGCAGGGTTCTCCAATTAGCACCAACATCTCGTCCTTGATGTTTTTGAAAGCGAGCAGGCACGATGGGAGATCTAGTGATCTGTAGATATTTAAATTATGTTTCGCTATTTATAAAATGAAAAAAGTCATGACATACAGTGTGTCATTCTCGTCGTCACTCGTCTCCGGCTCAGATAGATCTTCATCATAGCCAAAGGCTACAGCCAGTGCTATTTGAATCTCCTGCACCTCCTGCGATGGCTTTGTGAGGCGAAGCTCTCGTCGCCTACTCAATATACCGTCTCTGTGTCTTTGTACGTCAGTTGAACTGCCGTCTGTCAAAGACAATAAATAAAACTCAAACTTACTTTGCGTAACGATGTCGGCGTCTCTCTTGACTCGCTTCAAGTTTTTCTTGCTCTGTTTTATGAAGGGGGGGACGCAGCATGATGATCGTGCAGACTGGGAAAATAGACGAGTGAGCAAGGATATGTGAGAGACCGGCAGAGGGATGTATACCAGTGGATGGTCCATCGCGGATCCATTAAATGGCAGCCTGAGGGCCCGGATACGAGACCCAGAAAGGGATAGAAGTTTCTGTGCTGAGAGAGAATGGAGGATCAACTGTAATAGAACATGCATCAGCCACCAATAGCGACTTCATTGACTTGTTCTAGTAGGACTACGAACATACATCAATCATGCAGATACTGTTAGCATACTGGTGATAAATCTCCCCCTTTTCGTACGCCTCATCCAAGGCGTCCATATCGATCCTAACCCATGCAATTATATCCTGTAGTGACACTCTGACCTCTCGCACACGTGTAAGTACTGCGCTTCCTACCTTGTGTGCCTCAAGTTCTAGATCCTCGATTATGTCGAGCGCTGCGAGGATATCGATGAGGCCGTTCGTCACTTCAGACTGCTCGCACTGAATCAGTGCGCAGCATAAAGTTTCTGCGAAATCGCGGGATGAGTTTCCGATCACTGCGAATAGCTGTTGGTTTATAGATTTCGCATTCCTAGACAGAAATTTCATGAGTGGAGTTACAGTAGCTAGCCGATGACATACCTTTCTTTATACGCCTGTCTATATTTACGAGCAGCTCTTGCCTTTTCTTCAGATGAGTTGTACAACTGAGGTCGGCCCATAGTGAGTGCGCCAGGGAGTTATACACGTTGGTTGGTATGCAAGGGAGATTTGCAAGGGAGATTTACTGCGTGTTCTGAATGCCCAGGTTGAACACCGCTATCTATTCAAATATAATAGATGAACACCGCTATCCATTCAAATATACCTGAGTCTGTGTATGCACCCTGATTGGTGCGTGAAGGATATTTACACCTGGTTGGAGTGAGAGATTCACACGTGAGGCCTGGTTGTGCGAGGGAGATTTACTAATACTACACGTGAGGCCCTGGTTGGTGGTGCCCGAGGGAGATTTATGCGTGGGATAATGATGGGAACACACCCGTGAGCTCCTTACTGAAAATTTTCATTTCGGTTCATTTCGGTTGCCCCGGCAAAACATATCAAGTCAGTGTAAATGTACGTGAAACACATCACTGTCATGCGAATATTACTAAATCCAAAAACAGCATGGCCCCTCCTAGGTGGACGTCAGTTGAACAAGAGGCATGGTTGCAGCCTTGGTATGAAAAATTCAAGGCAAAGCAGGGTGAAAAAAGCAAGAACTACAAGAATTTCTTTGCCGACCTTTGTGAACAATGGTTCGAGGAGTTCCCAGAACCAAGGCCGGGTCACATCACAGAGATAGGACCCCTGACGTCAATGGAGATGGGTGCGGCTTATGACACACGTAAGACAGTGAGTATTCACCCATTAGGCTATGGATAATGATGTGACTAAATACATACGACAAAGAAATTATATACGCGATTCAAAAATAGCCTAGGAGGTTCAAGATCAGGCAGAAAGGCGAAGGCAAATACAACGAGTGTGATCGATGCCGTGGTTCGAAGCATTACTGAGTGCGAAAAGCCCACACGCATGCTCCAGGAACAGGAGGCATACTCAAAACTTTTCTACACAACTCGTGTTCAGCCAACTGTAAAAGGATCCCTGGAGAAAGCTGCTCAAGAACATAGGACACTTACCAACGGCGAACGCGTCGCTCTTGTGAAGAAGGAGACTGCGATGTTATATGCCCAGGAGTCGCCTGATATCAAGGACCAAGTGAAGCAATATCTCGAAGACCAGAAGCAGCAGAGAATCCAAGATAAGCAAATCGGACGGAGGCAAACGTGTGGTGATTACTCACGGTGAGCTCGTGTAAATTACGTTCAATGGCACCATATCACCAACTTACCTCTGCCCCGAAAAGAAACCTCGACAAACTTGCGGCAGTCGCCAACTCATTCTTGAAAGGGCTGGCAGAAGCAACTGGGATGTCATTCTCCCTCCTTGCTGGGGGTCCGTCTCCAGAAGCACTTGGGGCAATTGATATCTATAGGTAAGCTTGCATTTTACTAGAAAAATAAAACCATATCTTACTTGTCCAGTTTTCATGTCGGTCAAACAAAGCTAGGTAACAACTTTAGCACTGCATACCCTGGGTTTGACACCGGTGTCATGGAGCCCTTTCGAGACTTTTTACATTGAGTATACCGTGAGTTTTTCTGAGCAGTTGGATTCATTGAACTGACTGGGCGTTAAATTTAATAGCTGAGGCTGGCGTATCAAGCCCACAACAGCAAGAGGGTAGTAGTGCAACTGGTGGCGACACCTACTTGGATATATACAGTGGCTCAAAAAAGTGTCCCAATGTTTGCCCAGTTTCAAGTAATTGCATGATGGTGAGTCAAGGTGTGTGAATCTGATGTGGCAGTGCAGACATATTTGGTAGTAATACCTTCTGGCTTGAATCTGAGCTATGTGGCGTGGGAAACGGAGCTTACAGAGCGGAGATATGATAATTCTACAATTGTGACTCATTGGGACACTTTTTTGACTTTGAGTTCAACGACTGAAATATTTATGATTCTGATATTTGATGCTTCCTTCCTTGACTTCAATCATTGCTACTAGTCTCATAAATATATTTTCCATCAATCCTATACATTTTTGCTTAAAAATATTCCCATACTTTTCTCCACATCTCTCCTATAGCCCAAATAGCCCCTGTAGATGGTTTTGATGTTTTCAACAATGTCCAATAGGGTTTATGGTTATGAAAATTTTTGTTAATGATAACAAAGTAATACTATGGTCTTCAAATGATCTTGTGACTAACTTTGAGGTATATTTGATATCAGTATCCTCTATTAGGATAATTCCTTCTTAAATAATATATACCTCCTAGGTGTTTCTGAGTAGATATCATTCTAAAATGAAAGTATATCACTCTATACATATCTGCCCATCTACCCTATATCAAGTTCACTTCCTTCTACTGCATACAGTTTTCATACCATCAGATTATCCTCTATCAACTTATGTATTTTATACGCTTGTTTTACTTTTAAGTCATTTCTCTTTAATTTCTTGTGTAAATATGATCATATATGATTGATTTTCATTTCATATTACAAGGCAACATACTCCTAGTCATAAACAGTCAAGTAGCATTGTTACTTGAAGTTGAAAATAGTACCTGTCATATAAGCCTCTAGAAGCAATTGCTTTTCTTCTATGTTACAGCTTTAATACTAACTATAGCAAGAGTAGCCCCAACAATATGAGTGATGACATCAATGTAGACTATGAAGCTAATGATTTCATTTACTCAAATAGCATTAGAACCCTCAAAAACATATAAAAGTCTTATATTAATCAAGAGAATATTATTATAGTAGAGAATAACAACATTAAATATACCTCAAAGTTAGTCACAAGATCATTTGAAGACCATAGTATTACTTTGTTATCATTAACAAAAAATTTCATAACCATAAACCCTATTGGACATTGTTGAAAACATTAAAACCATCTACAGGGGCTATTTGGGCTATAGGAGAGATGTGGAGAAAAGTATGGGAATATTTTTAAGCAAAAATGTATAGGATTGATGGAAAATATATTTATGAGACTAGTAGCAATGATTGAAGTCAAGGAAGGAAGCATCAAATATCAGAATCATAAATATTTCAGTTGTTGAACTCAAAGTCAAAAAAGTGTCCCAATGAGTCACAATTGTAGAATTATCATATCTCCGCTCTGTAAGCTCCGTTTCCCACGCCACATAGCTCAGATTCAAGCCAGAAGGTATTACTACCAAATATGTCTGCACTGCCACATCAGATTCACACACCTTGACTCACCATCATGCAATTACTTGAAACTGGGCAAACATTGGGACACTTTTTTGAGCCACTGTATAACTCGGGCAATGAGCTTCTATCCTTTTGGGATACATCATCAGGTACCGGCAGCATTGTTCATTACTTATCCATGATTGATGTATCACCGTCAGGTACCAGCGGTAGCGGGCCTTCAATGCAACAGGATACATCCCTTGATGGACTCCTCACACAATCTCCCATCCTTCCAACAGCGCCTTTGCCCCCTTCACACGGCACCTGTGATGACTGGACGACCCCAGACTTAGATATATTTCTCTCCAATCTGGATGTTCAGATGGGGTTGGAGCCGCTAGCTGGTGCATCAGAAATCGCTACTCTTACCATGGTCCCACTTCCCCCTGCATCACCGTTCACTGCTGGTACTGTCACCCTGCCTCCAGACACCAGCTCAAGCATGCTGCCCGCCATCTCCCTGCCTCCAGATCCAGACACCAGCTCAAGCATACTGCCCGCCGTCTCTCACACGCCTCAACTGGACACTACTTCCACTCCCCCTCCAGACACCAGCTTGAACATACTGCCCGCCATCTCTCACATCCCTCAACCGGTCACTACTTCCGGTCACCCTCCAGATACCAGCTCGAGCGCCGAGTCACTCACTAGCGAACTTCCTCTCACTTCGACAACTCCTTCCTTTGACGTGGATCCATCAACGCCTACCCCAGGAAGCGACCATCTTGATGAAATAGAGACCAATGATGGAACAGCGCTTGAAACACGCAGGACCAAGCGCATCCCCAAGCCATCAACACGCAACGACGCTGCAAATGCGATCGGCACTTCTCGGAAGGAAAACAAGCGTCCCCGGGCTGAGATGTCTTCATACCACGGATCCAAGTGAGTTATATCCGATATTTGTTCTCAACTTGAGATTAAATACAATGAACAGGAGGGCAAAAGTGTGATGGGTCCTGAGTCACTTGTTCAACATATCTTGCTCATTCTGTTATCATCATTTGGCCGCACCGTTTTAATTTTTGGTAATGCAAGCATAGTAGTATAGTACTTTTAATAAAGACATGTCCTCCAAAAAGACGCAATATATTGTTTTCTTGTCTTCAGTCTCTGTACTACTTCATGCCTCGTCAGATGATATCCTCGCATGTCGCCGTAAAGCCGATATCAACGATGAGGATGCTAGCAACACCTCAAATGTCTCAATTTTGCGCTCCGCCATCGAGGAACTGACTCATTCGAAGGAAAGCACTGAAGGAGGAAAAGAAAATAGTCATTGGTTGATGTAGCTAATAGTACATGTCCCTATGATGAATAAAACAACGAACTTAATTATCCTTCATGTGCATACCTCCACTCTCGACCAAATCTCGTACTGAGATGACCTTGTCCGCCTGCCTGACGATGTTGTGGCCGAATTTGCAGCTCTAGATGAAGTTGACGTGGTCAGTTACAATGGCGAGGATGATAAATGGAATAAAGCAGAACATACTTTTGTTTTAACAAGCCAGATTGAGTTGAACATTTTGTAGATGAAGTTGAAGTGGTGAGGTACGTGGCGAGAATGACGGATAGGATGAAGCTTAACCTGGCAAAATGCGAGCACATGAGGACGGTGCGTCTAGGAGAAAGAAAGAAAAAGGATGTGAACTAACAACTTGGAGAAATTCAACAAAACAAGTGGATGCGCAAAGAAAAACATACCAAGTGCGGGAAGTTCCTCATAGGCACTAGTACTGAGAGAAGTCATAAAGATAGATGAAAATACACAAAGAAAAACATACCAAGCGCGGGAAGTTCTTCATAGGCACTGAGAGGAGTCAAAAAGAGAGATGAAAATACTACAAAGACAAGATCATAAGCAGGTACAGGCAAATAAGGCACCCACCTCAGATTCAAGAGAGATCTGCCCTCAATGCAGAACAACCAAGTATCAATCATGTGGTGCAACGGTGGTTCGAACGGACCAAATATTGGGTCCTACGGGAGGCAAGGGTCAACAGGTGGTCAACGTCCATATATGGCATTCAACCTCCATTTTTATGATTAGTAAGCCCGTAAAGCGGCTGCCCTTGGGATACATCCTGTTTGGATAGTGGATGATTAAACTGAAAGATGTATCGGAGTTTCTGGCTAATAGTCCAGTATAGATACATCTATATAACACTATAGCCTGTTTGTATACCTTTAAATCAATATATATAATATTAATATATATATACCTCGATCGTGCACGCGCGGCCGCAATCAATATTCAGCTAGCCAGGTATCAATACTAGATAAATCAATGGTATATTATACTCGCACCGTGCACTGCTCAGTGCTAGCTAGATACAGGCACAGCTATATAGATATATACAACAGACTCATATATAACGTGTCCGAGTAATGGACAATGAAATCGGTGCGACCTTCGAGAGCAGACGGGAAACTGAGTGGGCACTGCAATGCAGCATGAAGGGTAGCAAGAATGTCAAGACACGTCAGAGTTGCGGTGTTGAGAGCCAACGGGACCCATCGCGTCTGCAGATGCCAACAGAATATAGTAAGCTTGAATGAAGAACCAATATGAAGGTGACTACCTTGCGGTCCAAGGTGCAGGGATACTGGCGATGAACAAGATGGGTGCTGCCTCTCGGCGGACTGGAAAGGTATTCTATACGGCAGCGGCATATATCGGAAATAAATCATCTGCGAGAAATTAAGTTCACCATCGACGAACAGTTAAGCGTCCTTGGACTTACTTGTGCTACAGGCCAAACCTTCCAGTTGGTGAGAAGAGCGGGATAGCGACCACGGCGTCAGTCTGCAAACATATCAAATATTTGAAGGAAGGTCTCACATTATTAGCTGGTCGGCAGCCACACATTTTGAAAGAGCTCTGAAGCTGACGCGGGTTTGACTTCTCCGTGATCGAAGAGGGAATCGTCGTTCTAGAAAAAAATTACATCTCCCGAGTAGAGGGCCTCGCAGGCAGATGGTTCAAGGTTTACTCCGATAATCAAGTGCATGGGACTCACTCATGCCGCTTCCAAGATAAAAGAAACGCAGAGTACGTGCGAGATCCCAACCAGGCCTGGTTTCACGAGCTAGGGGTCGAAAACGATGTCGCCGAGAGCAATTCAAGGTTCCGCCAAGAGTGTGGTATGCATGCTGATAGGCACGACACGGATGTCATGGAAGTCGAGAGCAAGGGTAATTTCAAACTCCGCGAGTGCGGGGTCCTCAATTAACCTCTGAGTACTGAGTACTGAGTCACTATACGGTCTGCACGCGCACGTCGAATAAACCCTAGCGTTGGGTTAACATTATATTTACGTCTGCAACTAGGTATGCGTTGAAGCGTGTTGAAGGGTTGAGTCGACGCCGCATATACCGAGCGGAAATCAAGGTGAGGAGGCTTGAAAGTATCCGCCATCGTTGCGCGGAGCGTCGACTTGGAGTATCAAGTTTACGACTTAGTAATAGCTGGCTGATATTTGGTGGCGGTGACGTGGCTGAAACCTTGGCCTTGGGGACCCCCCAGAATTTCCGCCAACTCTCAGCCGTCGGAATTTTTGGACAACACGCCGTGATACATAGCGTTCGTGAAGGTGATAATGACTGACATAAACGACTAATTATAACTAGAAGTAGTTGATCATCCAAAATCGATCTTGTTTAGATTTTCACAGTGATCCCCTTCCACACTCGCATTGCGGCATCCCTTCCTCTTGTCCCAGGACCCTACCACAACATGCAGGCACTGTGATAATCAGGGACCAACGACTTCATCACTTTTGACCATCCTCTCAAGCATGTCGCTGGCCACCGTCCTAAACTCTTTCACAGCAACGGCGACCCCCTCTCTCTGCTCTCCCTGCTCTGAATATAGCCTCTCCAGTGTTTCGAGAGTACCATCCACATCTCTGATGAGCTGCCCGAGATCAAATGCCGAAGCAACCCGCATGTACTTTTTCGTGCCTTCCACAAGGACGGGAAGGAACTCGAAACAGTGTATGTCGCCAATTACACGGTATGCATACCTCCATGCACTGCTCATCAATTCCCACCACTCCCGCTCTGTGATAGAATCGAGCGATGTGGCCGACCACTGTTCAGGTGCAATTTGGAGGAGGATGCCCGCTAGGTAAATTACATGCGGCATGAAGCGGCAAGCTGCAATCATGCTAATGCATTGTTCTATATGGTGATCCCCAGACAAATGGGAGTGCCAGTTGGAATTCATCGCAAGGGCAAAAACCAGTTCGAGATAGCACGAGTCGCGTTCATAATCGAGACTGTGGTCAGGGCCATCATCGGCAGGTGTTGCACCTGGTCGCGGACAAACCGCGGTCAGAATAGCGGGGGAGAGCTTGGTCAAAACCATGTCGCGTAGACCTGCATCATCAATCACATGGATCGATGCCATGTCTTGTCGGACTCTATGAACAGCGCGAAGAGCGATGTGACGTAAACTGTAAGGCACGTCACTGCCCATGCATGCGATGAGGCTCTCGATAAATGTATGTCGTTTAGCGGGACTGCAGTGAGTCCGCAAGCCAACCAGTAGTAAAATGATGTCATATGCGGTCTGGTAGTCGTCGGAATAAATATAGTCCAGGTAGTCCACCAGCCAGTCTAAGTCTTCTGGCGAGACATCGTCTAACCACCAAAACTGCCTATTCCACAAGACGGCAGGGTCCTGAGATACTTTAGCAGCAACGAACGTGAAACGCAGTGCATTTCGCAGAGCTTCCAACAAATCCCAGGAATCTTCTGATGAACTCGCTCTTGAATAAATCTTCCTGCACATCTCCAGGTTCCGCATCGGGTGGGATGAACGAATATAGTAAGGTCGAGCAGGCTCGAGAATGCGACAGATGACGTTGAGGAGTTTCCATGCCCGGCGTGCGACTCCTGTGCTGTCTTTGTCGACATCACCTCCATCGGATGCCCAAAGAACCTTTTGGAACTGCGTCAAAAGGGACTGCGCGAGTTGAGGCAGAGCAGCACTACACAATTTCATTGTTAAAGATCGCAGAAAAAACCATCGAATAAGACAATGGCACCTTTTATCAATCCGAACTATGTCCTTCTTGTCCAACCGAACCCCGATCATCACACCAGCAAGAAGAGTGCAATTGGCAACAATTTGATTCGACGGAGTGGATGGAGGGCTCAGCAGGTTTGATATCACTGCTATAGCGAGTTCTTCTACATCTTCATTCACTCGCCCGGTAACGAAATGGTAAGGAAGAGAATGCGACAGCCACTCCGAGACAGAGTCGGGACAATCCTCCAAATATGAATGATAGAACGGAAATCCATGATCGTCATCTTCCGGAGGACAAAGATTCATGGTCGTGACAAGTATCGTGTCGTCGGCTGCGCCCAAGTCCATCCAGCTCATCTCACGAAACACATCGTAATCTCTTTCCCGTTGGCCAAGAGTTTCACCATAGCCAGGAGATGCCTGAAGAATGTGGCCACAGTATAGATGACTCAGAGCCATTATACATACAGAGGCCTTGTCCTTCAACGATGGTACAATTTGGTTCTGAATATCGACGCAGCTTGTAAAATTATAAAGCAGCTGAGGCAGCATGTCTGACACGTCAAGATCCAGGGGCCATTCGACGTGTGGAACATGGCTGGCAGCGGCGAGAAATACTTCAGGATCCGTAGACGTCTCGAGCAGCCACTTGATGCCACGTGCTTCCAGACCGGCAGTGGGTATGTCAGGGAGGTCGAGAGCGAGGGTGCATTGATTCTCCGCCAAAATGTCCAGGTTTTGGTCGAGCGGTTGTCTTTCCGAGTCCACCACCTTTGTCGAAGAGCGCAGCGCTAAAGAACGCAGCCCCTTATGAAGCGTGGTAAATACCTGCAGAACAGAACTCCATGCAAATGCGCCGACCGCACGTATAGGGCCTGGGGAATGAGTTTAGCACCGGGTAGTGGTGTAGTAGTAGATAAAAACGTCACCTCTCAATGCTTCAGACAATCGGGTCCATCTCGATCTGACGATGCCAAACAATCGCCGCAGCACACCTGACAAGGAATGGTAAAAACCTGTGGACACGTAAGACAATAAAGCTCACCATGCGCTGACATCATGAGCTGCTGGATATACCTGGAGGCTGGTGTGAATATTAGGAGTAAAACTTCTGCAATGCTGATTCAGACAGGAAGCGACCATCAAAATTCACAAGATGATCTTACTGTCGATGCGCAACATGCGCAATATCGTCGATATCGGCGTTTGAAATGGACAGGCGGGAGATATCAAACATGCCATCACGGTCAGCGAATAGAACAGAAATCCGAAGGTCGTGGTGGCAATGATGACCCAGGCAATGCTCGGCTGCTGGGTCCACAAATTGGCCCCGAGCGCGATCCCAAACAGAAGAAGGGAGATCTGAAGTAAGACCGGAAAGGATTGCACAACAGCATCAAAATACCATGTGATGATGCCATCGAACGTCTCTTGCCTGCGCTTTCCTCGTTCCTCTTGCGAGCCGCGGCCATATCTGTTCGACTTGTAGTACCCGAGCCACTGTTTGCCTAGTACGGCCCCGAAAGCAGCGAGCAAGCTCATAGACAAGCTTGCGTATGCGATCATTTGGATCCATACAGTCGTCGGCGACGGCGACCACGTAGATCCTGGTGCTGCGGCCGCAGTACCAGCTACAGTGAGGTTCCCGAGTCCGATTTGTACAAGTTGTGTGAGAAGAGCATTCGTCGTGTCGCTGGGGTTGGGATTGAGATTGGACTCCATTGCCACAATAAAAGACGTGCTGACAGCAGAGAAAAGACCAGACTAATCAAATGTCAATCTCAAAGCGAGTTGAATATGAGCATGCGGCGCGTACAAAGACCAAAACAATGTCCATGTCACTGGTGTATCGCTCAAGGAACTCGCCGTCGTGCTCCTCCGCGACTCTCTTGTACACCCCCCAGAAACGAGATCGATGGTCCTTGCCGCTCTTCGACGCAATCGTGGAGTCCTGGAGAACATCCAATACTTGTTTCATGACACTTGCTCTGCGTGCAGGACGTTGTCAGCTACGATCGGTAGGCTGATTTTTCGCTCACAATTCGCTTAGAGTTGGCTGGTCCTTCTCCACCACGTCCACGTCCTTCTCCACCACGTCCACGTCCTTCTCCACCACGTCCTGCTCCCCCACGTCCTTCTCCACCACGTCCTTCTCCGCCATATCCTTCTCCCCCTCGCTGAGACAACACATAAGCTTATTTGATATCGAAATTGATAGGGACTTACGGAGCTAAATCGCCGTCTGATACAACATTCAAGTTGGGGGTGCTTTCCTGTACGTGAAGTTCTGATGGCTGGGAACACCCAGTGTTCGAGCTACGGTTCTGGTGAGTAGGGACACAGAAGTATCAGGGCACAAACACTTGCATCCCTGATGGCAGCACAACAGAAGGTTCACTATTTATCGCATCCCTATCGTACTGTTAGGTAGGTGGCAGATTCCATAAAGTCACAACTTACTCATTTGTAGGTCCTACGGTGTCATTTTGCGGGGGAGGCTGTTCATCATTGTGAGCGCGCTGATCCTCGGCGTCGTCGGCGGCTGATGCTTTTGACATGAGGAAATATACTTATATTGGATCCTAAGTAAACCCAGTGAGATTTGGGAAGAGTATGAGATGAGTGGGCGAGAAGGAGTGGTGGTACACAGCAAGCGACTGGGGCGGTGCAACCATGACGAACACGTATGCCAACCCTTATCTCTCACGTGCGGCAACAGCGAAAGCGAAAGCAACAGCGGACAGCGGGCTACTCTGAGCTCCCCTATTATAGAAGGAATGAGGCCAAAGGAGTGAGCATTTTGGAATCAAGCCAGACGTCATGTAGCAAGTGAAAATCAAGGTGTAGCACGTTGGATAAGATCCAACTTGAATCAATGAATCATAAGTTCAAAGTTCAAATCGCCAAGGTTGCAAGCTGATTTGGATTCACTGCGTCCAAATAGTACCGATACAATTCGTACATGGCAACCTGTGTTTTCAATTTTAACCAAAGAACTTCTACCAGTGGTTTCATCCAATGCCTTGTCATCCTTCTCCATCAACGTCTGCAAGATCGTGCTCGTAATCTCCTCGTTTCCACTGCCCACGAACACGAATCCCAAAGCGGGAGCGCTGAGAGCAGCGATCTCCACCGAAACCCCGTCGTCCGCGACTGCAGGAAGGAGAAGAACGAGTAAGTCCTCGCGATGAGAGCCTGCGTATGGTGCGAGACTTGCCGCGGCGCTCATCATGCCTAGAAAAGGCCGTCAATAATCCAGCTTCAAGAACTGGTAAACATACTCACCGTTATCTTTGTTCTTGTACACCCGGCTGTTGCCCTCGTCGGCTTCCAACATCAATTTATCATTACCAAACCCAGCGTTAACGAACGCATTGACAAATGTGCCTGCAAGGTTAGCACGAGCCGAGTCGACGTTGGCGGACAGCCCTGTTCAGAAAGAAAGTTGATTGGTCCTTCTTCTCCGCGTCCTTCTTTTCCGTGACCTTCTTCTCTGCGGCCTTCTTCTCTGCGGCCTTCTTCTCTGCGGCCTTCTCCACCACGTCCTGCTCCACCACGACCTTCTCCCCTTCGCTGATACAACACACGAGCTTGTTTGACATCGGTATTGATAGGGACTTACAGAGCTAAATCATCATCTGGTGCAACATTCAACTTGGGGGTACTTTCCTCTACGTGAAGTTCTGATGCTTGAGAATGCTCGGTGTTCGGGCTGCAGTTCTAACACCGACGCATCAAGGCAGAAACGCTTACATCCCTGAAGGCAGCACCACCGAAGGTTCACGATAGATTTCATCCCTGTCTTGCTATTAGGTGGGCGGCAGACCATGAAGTCGCAACTTACTCGTTTGGGGGTCCTACGGTGTCATTTTCCGGGCGAGGCTTTTCATCGTGGTGAACGCGCTGATTCTCGGTGTGGTTGGTGCCACCTGATGCTGTTGACATAATGAAATATAATTATACTGAATCCAAAGTAAATCCAGTGAGATTTGGGGAAAGTGTGAGGTGAGTGGGCAGGGAAGAGTGGTAGTACACAGCAAGCTACTTGGGCGGCAATGAGCTCAAGGCATGAATGCAAGAGTTGTTCGCTTAAAGAGACGCTGATCACATATAGCTGACGGGATGACGAACATCATCTCGGACTTACTAGTTTGGCACCCGCATGCATCGCTATGCACGACCCACCGTGTGTGTTGCAATCCTTCACTTGGATCACACTAACATCTCCTCAGGCGCCCTTTGAAGAAAATCTGGACGAGGCCGGCAACGCGATACTAGAACACGGTCAAGCTTCAACTTAGCAACCACTTAGCTCAGATTACCTTTGCACGACGCATCCTTCCAGAAGACTGACACATACTCCTCGAAGTATCGGTCCACGACGTTGCTTCAATCTACAGTCTAGGTAACTGCGAACTGCATCGCACAGATCTGCAACGTCACTGTAGGATTGGCACCAAAGCTTGAGGCGTGTCTCGAGGCAGACACAAAGGATATGCTGAGGCTAAAACTGGTGAGCATATATACGATCATCAGAGATTTGTGTTAACCACCAGCCAGCTGAAAAAAACAGGTGAGTGTTCAGCATGGGTCCCTTCCTCTTCCATGTCAACCTCAGAAGCTCTCCGTCGTCAATATTCTCGAGATAGTGCCTATCAAGGCAGCAGTGTCAGATGGGATGATTAAACCCACAGATTGGCACGGGTGTATGTAATACAGAGTTGACTCGCCTTCTCATGTTATATATATAAAGTGCTCGTGACAATGACCGATTGCAAGACACGAACGCCTGATTGTAAGTAGCTGATTATTTACATAAAATCGATCTTGTTTTAAGATCTTGATATTTATCCCCTTCTGCACTCCCATCGCGCCATTCCCTCAGTTCTGGTCCCAGGACCCTAGCACAACATGCAGGCCCCGTGATAATCAGTGACCAACGACTTCATCACTTATGAACATCCTCTCAAGCATGTCGCAGGCCACCGTCCTAAGCTCGTTCACAGCAACGGCGACCCCCTTTCCCTGCTCTCCCTGCTCCCCCTGCCCTCCCTGTTCTGAATCTCGCGTCTCCAGTTCTTCGACAATACCACTCACATTTCTGATGAGCATTTCGAGGTCAAACATCGAAGCAACCCGCATGTACTTTTTCGTGCCTTCCACAAGGTCGGGAAGGAACTCGAAACAGTGTATGTCGTCGTCCATTATATCGTATGCATCCATCCATGCACTGCTCATCATCTCCCACCACAGCTGCTCTGTGATAGAATCGAGCGATGTGGGCGACCACTGTTTAGGTGCAATTCGGAGGAGGATGCCAGCTAGGTAAAATCCATGCAGCTTGAAGCTGCAATCTGCAATCATGCTAATGCACTGATCTATATGGTGATCCCCAGACAAATGGGAGTGCCAATTGGAATTCCTCGCGAGGGCAAAAACCAGTTCGAGATAGCACGCATCACGGCGATCATGGAGAATGAGGTCAGGGCCATCATCGGCAGGTATTGCACCTGATCGCGGACAAACCGCAGACAGAATAGCGGGGGAGAGGTCTTTCAAAACCATGTCCCGTAAGTTTGCATCATCAATGCCATCGATCGATGCCATTTCTTGTCGGACATTGTGAACAGCACGAAGAGCGGTGTGACGTAAACTGTTAGGCATGTTACCGTCCATGCAGGCAATGAGGCTCTCGATGAACATATGTTGTTTAGCGGGGCTGCAGCGAGCTCCTAAGCCATGCAATAGCAAAAGGATGTCATATGCTGGCTCGTAGTTGTAGGAATGAATGTAGTAGAGGCAATCCACTAGCCAGTCGAAGTCTTCTGGCAGGTGAGAATCATCTTGCCAAAACCGGCCACTCCACAATTGGGCAGGGTCACAAGATATGTTGGCAGCAGTGAGCGTGAAGTGCAGTGCATTTGGCAGAGCGTTGAACAAATCCCGGCGATGATATTGTTCGGATGACCTCAGTCGCGAATAAATCTTCCTGCACACGTCCAGGTTCTGCATCGTGTGGGATGAAGGAACATAGTAATAATGTCGAGAAGACTCGAGAACGCGACAGATAACGTCGAGGAGTTTCCATGTCCGGCGTGTGACTCCTGTGCTGTCTTTGTCGATATCGCCTCCATCCCATGCCCAGAGAACCTTTTGAAACTGCGTCAAAAGGGACTTTGCGAGTTGACGTAGAGCAGAACTACACAATTTCATTGTTAATGATTGCAGACAAACCACCAAAAAAGTCAATAGCACCTTTTATCAATCCGAACTATATCCTTCCTGTCAAACCGAACCCCGATCGTGACGCAAGCGAGAAGAGTGCAATTGGCGATGATTTGATTCGACGGAGTGGATGGAGAGCTTAGCAGTCTTGATATCACTGCTATAGCGAGTTCTTCTACACCTTTATTCACTCGCCCAGTAACGAAATGGTAAGGAAGAGAATGTGACAGCCACTCTGAGACAGAGTCGGGGCAATCCTCCAAATCTGAAGGATAGCACAAAAATCTACGATCGTCATCTTCCGGAGGACAAAGATTCATAGTCGTGGAAAGTAAAAGTACCGTGTCGTCAGCTGTGCCCAAGTCCATCCATCGCATATCACGAAACACCTCGTAGTCTCTTTTCCGTTGGCCAAGAAGTTCACCATACCCATGAGATGCCTGAAGAACGCGGCCGCAGTATAGATGACTCAGAGCCATTATACATGCAGAGGCCTTGTCCTTCAACGAAGGTACGATTTGGTGCTGAATATCGACGCAGCTTGTATAATTATCATACAGCTGAGGCAGCATGTCTGACACGTCAAGATCCAGGGGCCATTCGACATGTGGAACAAGACTGGCAGCCGTGAGAAATACTTCGGGATCCGTAGATGTCTCGAGCAGCCACTTGATGCTAGGTGCTTCCAAACCGGCAGTGGGTATGGCAGGGAGGTCGAGAGCGAGGGTGCATTCATTTTTTGCCAAAATGTCCAAGTTTTCGTCGAGCGGTTGACTTTCCGAGTCCACCACCTTCCTCGAAGAGCGCAGCGCTAGAGAACGCAGCCCCTTATGAAGCGTGGTGAATACCTGCAGAAGAGAACTCCATGCCAATGCGCCGACCGCACGTATAGGGCCTGAGGAATGAGATTAGCACTGGGTGTCCAGTGTAATGGTAGATAAAAACGTCACCTCTCAATGCTTCAGACAATCGGGTCCATCTCGATCTGATGGTGCCAAACAATCGCCGCAGCACACCTGACAAGAAATGGTAAAACCCTGCGGACACGTAAGACAACAAAGCTCACCATGCGCTGACATCATGAGCTGCTGGAAATACCTGGAGGCTGGTGTGAATATTAAGAGTAAAACTCCTGCAATGTTGATTGAGACTGGAAACGACCATGAGAATTCACAAGATGATCTTACTGTCGATGCGCAACACGCGCAATATCGTCGATATTGGCGTTTGAAATGGACAGGCGGGAGATATCAAACATGCCATCACGGTCAGCGAATAGAACAGAAATCCGAAGGCCGTGGTGGCAATGATGACCCAGGCGATGCTCGGTTGCTCGGTCCACATATTGGCGCCGAGCGCGATCCCAAAGAGAATAAGGGAGATCTGAAGTAAAACCGGAAAGGACTGCACGACTGCATCAAAATACCATGTGATGATGCCGTCGAACGTCTCTTGCCTGCGCTTTCCTCGTTCCTCTTGCGAGCCGCGGCCATATCTGTTCGACTTGTAATACCCGAGCCACTGTTTGCCCAGTACGGCCCCGAAAGCAGCGAGCAAGCTCATAGACAAGCTTGTGTATGCGATCATTTGGATCCATACAGTCATCGGCGACGGCGACCACGAAGATGCTGGCGCTGCGGCTGCAGAGCCCGCTGCAGTGAAGTTCCCGAGTCCAATTTGTACGAGTTGTGTGAGAAGAGCATGCGTGGTCTCGTTGGGGTCGGGACTGAGATTCGACTCCATCGCTACGATAAAAGATGTGCTAACGGCGGAGAAAAGACCAGACTGATCAAACATTAATCTCAAATGGAGTTGAACATGAGCATGCGACACGTACGAAGACCAAAACAATGTCCATGTCGCTGTTGTATCGCTCGAGAAACTCGCCGTCGTGCTCCTCTGCGACTCTTTTGTACACACCCCAGAAACGAGAGCGATTGTCCTTGCCACTCTTCGACGCAATCGTCGAGTCCTGGAGAACACCCAATACTTGTTTCATGACGCTTGCTCTGCGTGTAGGATGTTATGATCTACGATCGCTTGGGTGATTTTTCGCTCACAATTCGGTTAGAGTTGGCTGGTCCTTCTCCTCGTTCTCCTCCGCCTTCTTCTCCTCGTTCTTCTCCGCCTTCTTCTTCTCCTCCTCCTCCTCCTCCTCCTTTTCCTCCTCCTCGTTCTCCTTTTTCTCCTTCCCCTCCTCCCCCTCGTTCTCCTCCTCCTCGTTCTCCGCGTCCTTCTCCACCATGTTCTCCCCTACCACGTCCTTCTCCCCCTCGCTGAGACATCACATAAGCTTATTTGGCATCGAAATTGATAGGGACTTACGGAGCTAAATCGCCGTCTGATACAACATTCAAGTTGGGGGTGCTTTCCTGTACGTGAAGTTCTGATGGCTGGGAACACCTAGTGTTCGAGCTACGATCCTGGTGAGTAGGGACACAGAAGCATCAGGGCACAAACACTTGCATCTCTGATGGCAGCACAACAGAAGGTTCAACATTTATCGCATCCCTGTTTTGCTGTTAGGTGGGTAGTAGATTCCATAAAGTCGCAACTTACTCGTTCGTAGGTCCTACGGCGTCATTTTGTTGTTCATCATTGTGAGCGCGCTGATCCTCGGCGTCGTCGGCGACTGATGCTTTTGACATGAGATACTTGTATTGGATCCCAGGTAAATCCAGTGAGATTTGGGGAGTATGAGGTGGGTGGGCGGGTGGGAGTGGTGGTACACAAGCGACTCGGGCGGTGCGACCATGACGTTGACGCTGTGGGTGCTCGTAGGTGCTCCGTTCGGTAGACTGCAAGATGAATCCCGTATAAATATAGTCAGACTGAAAGAAGCAAGATGTCTTGAACATACACTTGATATTCGCCCCTCACGTAAGCTGCGTCCTGCCAAATAGGTACTTACCTATATGTGGTACCTGAGTTACATCAGCAACGTAGTCAGCCAATAAAAATCGTTTATCGTTTACCCCCTTTTGGCATTATAGAAGGCAACGAGGCCACGGGGGTGAGCATTTTGGAATCAAGCCAGACATCGTGTAACAAGTGAAGTTCAAGGTGTAGCACGTTGGATGAGATGCAACTTGAATTGATGATTCATCAGTTCAAAGTTCAATTGAACCGCCAAGGTTGCAAGCTGTTTTGGATTCACATTATCCGAATAATACTGATACAATTCGTACATGGCAGCATGTGTGATTCGATTTTGACTAAAGAACTTCCACCAGTGGCTTTCACTAAGGGATTGGAATGCAAGAAAATACTGGAGGGCGACGCCCCAGTATTCCGGTGCCTCTATGCCTCTACTGTGATCACTTGCGACCTCACACTTCAATACCTCGGTCCTATCTGACGGAAATTGACCGGAAATGACTGCGTCATTCAGCGCTTTGGTGACGAGCACCAAATAGAAGGTGGGGTGAATATTGAGTGGATGCAGACCCAATTCTTGCCGCTTTTTATTGTTGAACTGGTATACCGCAATGGCTCCTGCAACCATACGTGCCTCGACGTTTGAGGGGGCCCATCAGTGTCTCGACTGCTAGTAAAACAAGCAAGATATTTGATGAATCCGATTCGCATACGCTTATGCATGCGACTTGGTTGATATCATCGCAGATCAGCAATGGGATAGTGTACTATCTCAAATTCCGACACTTGTGGAAGCCAAGTAGGTCGAGAACCTCAAAAGCCAAGCCGACAATGTTCGGTTCATGATCAGCCCGATCCTTGATAAGACGAAGATTTCCGAAAAGACGGCATGTGCTGTCCGCACCTGGATGTCAAAGCGCGCCTCGGCGGTGGCGAGCTCGGGATCAAGGCCTGCCACGGTTAGAGGGACATCTGTCCCTGGGCAAAGAATTGATGTGCTGGTATAGCAGCGAAAGTTATATTGTATGCCATGAGCTCGTTGTCATCCCAGTCGCTGCTTGATTTTGGAGAACGAATCAGATTAACCATCTAGGGGGAAATACTCAGTCGGTAAAAAAATTACTTCACCTCTGTCGCTGTGTGATAATTTGCACAGGAAAGCTATCGTGCGGAAGCAGAAGTACTTAGCTGAAGTGGCGAGTGGTAAATTGCATGTCATGGTCGATATCATGATTGCATCAGCAGGACAGCGAGCTCCTGTGTGGACTCGTGTCTTTTCCAGTCCGCTATCAGCACAACAACCTCTATCGACATGGATCTTGATTCACTTGGCACGATGACCATACCCTGCATCACAATTGTGGGAACCCGTGTCGCCTTCTACCTCGTTCCCGTCACCGACGAACTGAACGGGGCCGCTGTCGTCGCTGGAGAATACCCACTGTCTGCAACCCGGGTGCGAAAATGCATAGTCGATCACAAAGGTGGTATGGAGGTTTCAGCGTATAGGAGATTTGCACCATCACTATATTGCATTCAGGACTCTGGCCGAGAACTACTGGGAGATGTTCTTCAATTAGCACCCCACATCGCCCTTGATTGTAAAACAAGTGATACCCTATCACGTTTTCCAAATTTTCACGTACAACGGCACATTATATACCTACACCTGCATCGTATCCTCCTTCTCCCATCCAGGGTTCTTCTGTAATATAACAAAGCCCTCTAGAACATGAGCATATGGGATGAATTCCTCCGTCGCCAGCTCCGCGCGCTCTGTCGTCCCCAGCCGCACGGGCGTCTGGTGTGTTTGGAAGCCTGATATCGTGCGTGGTTTGCCAGCTTGGCCTACGACGTCCACAGCCTATGTGACGAATAAGAATAAGTTTTAAGAGACATGTAAAGGGAAAGCTGTGAACTCACCTGGCCGACGCGAACCGTCACAGGCTTGCTCTCGAGGTTCTCATCCAACGTGATGAGGAAGCGAGGGTACATGGCGGTCACGAGGAAGTATAACATCCAGTGGTACTTGTCAAGCACGACTATATGCGCTCATTAGGATCTACTTGCATGAATCAGAACAAGAGGACTCACAGGCTTTAGCGTCCGTGAACGCCATGATCGTCGCCAGCAAACCCGCAATAGCCGGTCGACTCATGATGTTCCTGTCCGAGAAGAAAGGATTGATCCCGATCGTACCCTTGCCCATGTGCACGAGACCTTGCGCGATGCGGACCATGAACAGACAGTCAGGCTCCTTGTAGTAGTATCCCGCGAGCTGGCGGAGCATCTGTGCGAGTCGTGCATTATTCGTGCCGGCCCCGACGAGGCCCATGGCAAAGATGGCGTTAAGTGCGACTGCGAGGTCGTGGTCATGGCTGTATTTTGAGAGCGTGTCGAGGACAGGGAGCTGTGGATTTGAGGCGCTGATGAGGCCGAGAGCCAGGGGGACAGATTTGCGGATGATGGGGTCGCCGTAGTGCATCTGAGAATGACGCGTTAGTGATACAACTGGATATTGTTTCTGCCGAAAACATATACCAAGTGGTTGAACTGTCTCATGGACATCTCAGCACCGATATCCTCTCCCATTGCGATCATCGCAATACCAAGAACGGCGAACGATTGGAAAGTATCGTCGGGTTTCTTCTCCTCTTTCTTCTCCTCCTTGGTCTCCTCCTTCTTCCCCTCTGCGCTCTCAGCCTGCTCCTTCTCCTTGAGGGCATCCAGGTGCTCGCCACACAAGTGCAGCAATCTCTGCACTCGCAGGACGTTCCCAGTGGCAACGAAGGAGCACACCTCCACAAGAATCTGTGCCTGCCTTGAAATCGGGTGCTGGATAGCCTTCAGCGTCTCAAGCGTTGCATCCGAAGCATCCTGCAAGCCTGCAACTCTGACTCAACACGTCTCCCAGCTCAAACAGCTCATGAAAACGCACCAACGTAGAGCAGCGCCAACCCCAACGCCATAAATCGTCCCCACTTTTCATCCAACGCCTTGTCATCCCTCTCCATCAACGTCTGCAAGATCGTGCTCGTAATCTCCCCGTTTCCACTGCCCACGAACACGAATCCCAGAGCAAGAGCGCTGAGAGCAGCAATCTCCATCGAAACGCCGTCGTCCGCGACCGCAGGAAGGAGGAGAACGAGTAAGTCCTCGCGATGAGAGCCTGCGTATGCTACCCCGAGCCCCATTATTGCAGATATTTTGAGCGGGACAGATTTGTTATCTACGTGTTCTGCTAGCAGGGCGAGGGCGGCGTCTGCTTCTGTGCGTACACCTGCATTCAGCAAGCCTGTGGCGAAAAACGCGCCGGCCTGAATAATTAATAGGAATGTGTGGTGGCATGGTGTAAATAAATACCTTGATCCACTCTTCAGGGGAGTATGTATATCTGTCGATGTGGCTGAGACCGACATCCGTGTCCCAGAGGAGTCCGAGCCCAAGACTTGCCGCAGCGCTCATCATGCCTAGAAAAGGCCGTCAATGAACCAGCTTCGCGAACTGGTAAACATGCTCACCATGATCTTTGTTCTTGTACACCCAGCTGTTACCCTCGTCGGCTTCCACCATCAATTTATCGTTACCAAACCCAGCGTTAACGAACGCATTGACAAATGTGCCTGCAAGGTTAGCGCGAGCCGAGTCGACGTTGGCGGACAGCCCTGATCCTGAACATGGTTCAGAAGGAAAGTAAGAGCTTCAAAAAGCAGAACGCACTCGTGGTCTCCAGATGACTCTTGTAGACGTCCTCAAGGCTCTTCGGATCTGCAACGCCCACCTCCTTTCCGAACTCCTTGAAATGTCTACTGAGCTGCGTGTTGCTTAGGCAGTCTAGAATGTCTGCTGGTAGTTCATCTTCCAAGTCTGCATCTGCGTCTTCTGAAACTGGCGCTTTCAGCCATTCGATGGGAATCTGTGCGCGTGCAAGGAGGAAAGCAAGCTGTTTCTTCATTATCCTGAGCAGAAATGAATGAATGACAATGCGCGTGTGATACGACTTACGGGTTGCCCGAGGCGTTAAAGTCTTGCCGGATGAGTGCCGCATCATTAAGGCGGATCGCGACACCGAGAGCTTCGGGGAATTTCGAGAATTGGAGGTAGATCTTGTGTATCGTGCGCAAGAAAGTCACATCGTCAGGTGGAGGGAGGAGCATGACACATCTGAACATCAAAGGTAAGACATGAGAACATGAATGAGAAGGCAAACGCACCGGTCCATGTACGCACATACACGACCGAACGTGTTTGCGTCCACCAGACTTGCTATCCGGTCAACAATCTCGAGCTCCACGAACAAGTCGACAGCATCTGGCTCGGCATTGTGTCCCAGGAAGAATGTGGCGCATTCCAAACCGAGGTTGTGTAAGTCCTCGATGGTGCCAGGGACCGGGGCAGGCTTTGATTTAGGTGCGTCTGAATCAGCCTCTGGTGCTGCTGGGGGAACTGCTTCTTCACCCTCCTGGCGGATGGTATACTCCTCTCCTAGCTCTGCAGCAAGATGACGAACGTACTCATGTCCCCAAGAACCGGGTTCAGAGATTTTCGATGTCGGGGGTAGGAGAGACGCAGACAGAAGGCGGTAGCGGAGAGTTCCTCGTGGTTCGGTATCGGAGTAGGTCATAGCGAGGACAGAGAGAATATCTGCAAACAGGCTCTGCATGGTGATAAGTCAAAGTCATGGAGAAAGACTTTCCTCGTACCTTGTTTTCAGATGCAGGCCATGTCTCGAACAGCTCCTGCAGACCGGGATAATGTGGGCGTAGAAACTTGAGTGGTTTGGGAACGGAGGTCATGGACGAAGTGGATGTTCTTATGAGTGTCCGGAGCGTTTCAAGAGCAGGACGGTAGAGATCCGTGTTTAATTCCTGCTGCCAGTTCAGTTACATGTTCTACCTTGATCATCAGTTTGCACGCACCTTTAACCGTTCAATGAGCATCTCCAGCTCAGATTTGAGCTGCGCATCCTCTTCCGACTAGGAAAGTCAAGCTAATGCTGGTTTTGCTAATGTGATTAGCACTCACTAGTTCCTCCTCCTCGTCCTTTGTACCATTCGCCTTGGTGTCTAGTGTCTTATCCTCTTCTTTCTTCTTCTCCTTTGGATCCTTTGAGGGAACTGCAATCTCTGCTGCTGGTCGTTCTGCCATAACTCGTGGATTTCTCTAAGATGGTAAAGCTAAAACAGGTACTTGGCAGCCAATAAGTCTCGACGCGCGTCGGGGACGCGTCACGCACCATGCAAGTCACACGTATCCCGGTTTGGATGATCGTGACATTGCGTTTAATGTCGTCACGCTAGTCTGCCTTAGGCCCTTAACCTATTACTAAGCTTGCCACCAGTCTCGACTCTCGGCAGTCAAACTATAGGTGTGGGCCATTAGGTCCTAACCGGAGTTTGAAACCTAACCTAACGCGGGCCGGGACGGACCACTCAGCGCAAACATTTGCCTTCAACAACATCCAGTTCCTCTTACGAGCGTCTCATCAGACTTCTTTCCCAGGACGTCACGCGGATCGTATGCACATATGAAGCCGACAGCACCACCCGTCAAACGAGGGCGTGGAAGACCGAGAGGAAGCAAGAATCAACCAGGTGCAGGACATGTTGGCAGGCCACGCAATGATGGACAGCCCCCTCGAAAACGGCATAAAGGACACGACGATGCGGAGAGTACTGCTCCAGGTGAGAATCTTTTCATATCGTTCCTCGAGCATCTTGACTAATGAAGAAAATCAGCACCAAACACCTCGCATAGCGCCACACAATCACCGCGCAATGGCAAGGTTCAACGTTGTGGCAAAGGTGAGTCATAAAATCTCTAAACTAACGATGACCTCTCATTCATGCCACCCTGCTTCTTACAGAATCCACTCCGACGCCACGCAGAGCCCTCGCAATTGATGTGGATTTGGACTCGGAGGTGTTCGAAAACCTCGATCCTCCTGCGAGGGTTCGCACCATCCCTCCCGCACTTCCAATTGCACCTCGTTCTGCAGCCTGCAGCGAGGTGCCTTTGAAGCAGACAACCCTTGCATTTCGAACGGCCGTGCAGGGTGCCAACCCAGGTGAGTATCTAGTGTCTACTAACCGTTATCTCCGGCGCTCTACTATCATGCTAATATCTGCCTCCCAAAGTGTTGGAGGCACCTACTGCCTCAACCGTCGTGCAAACACCGCACATTTCGCCCCTCAATACTGATGCCCAAGGACAGCAATCTGAGCCTGCTGCCAGCATTTCGCCTCAAACCTCAACCCACCAGCCACGGGACTTCTCTGAGTCTGGACTGGCCGCGACTATACGCGAGGCTGATCCACCTGCGGAGTCGGCAGCTACGAGCAGCGGGATGACTCGGCGGCAGCCGTGGAGGCACGATGCAAATGCACCTGCACTGCCACCATCACCAACGGTTGAGCCGCAGAGTGCGACGGGTCTTATTGATGGTACGTCTTTGCTGTAGCTGCTTCTGTGGTGTCCATGCTCACACATTATTTGAACTTCAGTTCCTGAGAACCCGTATGGCTCTGATCTCGAAGCACCTGCCCCTCGCGATGACACTGAAAGTGATCAGGATGAGGAAGCATCCCTGGAAGACGAGTTTCGCCCTGTTCCTGATGACGGAGGAGAGGACGAAGACACGGAGCATGGAAGGGGGACCTCGACATCTGGGTCTGTAGGCAGATCTTCGTCGAGGTCAACAATGCCACTTTGGCTTAGCGAGTCCTATAAAGCTGTAGAGACGATGTTGAAAAAAGAAATCAAGCAGAGTACCCGAACACCAGCCATGCCCAAGTGCTATGAGCAGCAGTGACTCTGGGTCGGGGATGCTTCACCCTTTCTGACGTTGCTGACGCAACCCAACATTGCCGTCGAGCCCTCGATATTCCATCGACCAGCCTTCTTTGTTTGGCTCCCGCACTGTTTGCTGGGTGACCGCATTCCCTGCCCTCAATGCAAAGCAAACAATGAGCTGACAAACCAAGGAAAGCCGGTTTTTCTTCAGCGGCTTGGATGGATCGGAAAGCCTCGACGTGTGGTTGATGTAGCTCGGAATGTCTACATCATTGGGTACCGCTACAACTGTGTCCACCCTGGATGCCGCAAGACATATCGAAGCTGGAGCTCCGCAATTCTCAATGTTCTTCCTGCACCAGTGGCCATGCAATTCCCCTTCCAATTGACTTACCGCAGTGGGCTCTCAAATAGCCTCGTTTTGCTTTTGCACTCCTCGATCAGGGCAGGGATAGGACCAGTGCCATTCATGCAGATGTTGCAGTCATTCCACTACGAACACTTCGACAATCTTCACCTTCAATACCTGGAGCTCGTGCACGACCGCTACAAAAGTTGTCCGAAACAGTTTTGGGTCCGCAAGCAAGCATTCGGCTTGTTCAGTGACCGAAATGGCTACGCTGGATTTGTACCAAGTGCAGGGTACCTCCGTCGCTTTTATGACATGATTATCGAACAGCGATCGACGGAGATGAAACAGTGTATTGCCATGCTCCCGGCGAGAGTGCTCGCAATTGACCATAGCTTTAAGGTGCCTAGTAAAATCATGCAATATCTGCCCCGTATCTCTGACATGTATCGAGCGAGCAGATTATCAAACGGCTCGGTAGGGTGGGCAGTGCTCCCCTATTCACTGCACTTCATACTGTGGTGAATGAGTACTCCGAGATTCGGTCCATGCTCTTCACAATGATGAAGGGACATGATCAATACATGCCCAATCTGCGCGAAATCAGCGAGTCACTGGCGAAGTTTGGACATCCTGAGGTCCAGGCTGTTTTCACCGATAACGTCCGCGCAGACAAAACGAACTCGAGCGAGTGTTCCCGTCCCTCTTAAAAGACGTTGTCCCCGTCCTCCCACATAGTTCCCTTCCCCTGCTTGAATTTCCTCATGGATCATGGACCGTCGTCGAGCTGAGCAACACCCATCAAGTCAATCACCGCTTTGATGTCATCATGAACCATCGAACAACGACAAACCCGAACGTTACGGTTGCATTCGACATGGAATGGCCAGTCAATTTGGAGACGGGAATCCACGGTCCTGTTGCCTTGATTCAAGTGGCATATCAAAATACTGTCTATCTAATTAAGGTCAGTGGCTATTTTTCCTACGATGTTGCTGGTTCCTTACATGTTTGCATGCACGCACATTCAGACTGCTCCGTTTCTCGAAAATGGTGTCATCAAGCTCCCACACTCCCTCCTCGTGTTTTGCGTTCGCCACTGTTTAAGAAAGTTGGTGTTTCAGTCGGAGCTGACTTCAAGCGGCTGCAGAATGACTGCGGGATGCATCATGGTGCAGCATCGGATGAACCGTTTGCAGGACACGTGGAGCTGGGAGCAATGGCTAAGGAGCGTGGTGCTACCGTGAAGAGGACTGTGGGGCTTGCTGAACTCGTCGGAATACTTCTCGGCAGGCACCTACCGAAGGACCCCCAAGTCCGTGTTAGCCCTCGGTGGGCTGATGCAGTGCTCCCCCAGGAGTACATCAACTATGCTGTGCTCGATGTCTATGCCATCTCCCAGGTGCATTTACAGCTCGCGGGGATGGACATTGCCCAGCCTGTTGTGGCCACCACCCCTAGTGGGACTGCAATTGCACTCCTGGCACCTGACGGACAGGAGGTGGCTCACGGAATTGTGGCCCTCGAACGTCCTCCTGCCCTCGATGGTGTTGACGTGTCACCGAAACGAGTCGTGATGACAGTTTCTAAGGTGCTCGTGTCATCTTTCCTGCTTCCTGCTCGCCTACAGAAAGCAAAGCAGGCAAAATCACTCGCGTCATTCAGCAGTACTCCGTTTTCTATTGTTGCTGATATCCGAAACCTTCGCATCTGCCCCTCAACTCACAATGAAGGCTCTGATGGTCCATCATCTGGTTCATACACGGAAACCCTTGGCGACCACCAGGATCCCGAGTCTGGAGTCTTGGATGCAGGATATATTGATAGCAGCAGCCCTCTGACGAGCACTCTTGTCCCAAATGAGGATGAGTGTGATGGTGATTCGGAGACCAGCCCTGAACAGACTATCGAGGGCTCCTTGCGAGATCCAGCTGCAGAAGCTACACTTGTGGGGGTCATGGAGCCCTATGTGAATGTTGCAGCGAGGAACAACTCCATCATTCGTTCACGTGTTCTATACGACAATTTTCATTGCTACCATCAATTCCCGATCGCTCGCCACCATGGGCTCAGACGGCCGTTTGCACGAGCACTCAGTGCAGCATTTTTCATACCGGTCGTGGAGGACAAGGCCGCCATGGAAGCAGTACTGAAGGACTTCGGGACGACGTACAACGCTCAGCTTTTATCAAAACCTGAGTGGGTGCTGTCACGAGTCCGGCGTCATGTACCTCCACCTGAAATTCTCCTGCCCCGTGTTGCTGACGTCATCAGAACCTACGGTCCAATCAAGGATGCAACAACAGGACAACCACTTTTCAATGACCGTGCTTGGGAAATCGCAAAACACGTCATGGAAAATGTCCAGCTTGGATACTACTCAGATCCTGCAGACGTTGACCTTTACTTTGAGATCGGGAAAGATCAGCATGGCCTGATGTTGTACCGCTGTTGCCGTGGCACCAACAGTGTCGAAGGTGGTGTTCACCAGAATCTCATACGGCGCTACACATCATTCAATACATTGCCTCTTCATGCTATTAATGTGCTGCTCGACTACGCTGTTTGTCACAATATGACGGTCCGTCATTCGTTCATTTAATTCAAAATGCACACTCACCTGTACAGTTGCAGGTTGGCAACATGAACCGCACCGGCAAAGCATATGTCGGACACTTTAATGTCCCGCTAAAGAATCACATTGCTCGACTGCTGACCTTAACAATGGATGCACTAGTTCCTGCAAGCAGTGACTTTCGGTGTGGTTGGGTGAACGGCAATGACTACGAGCTCGCACACGAGACTTTCGGCATGATCCAGTTTTTGCCCGCGTTTTTCAAGCCACTCGGAATGTTGGAGTTCAACGAAGTCTTTGCACGCGAGCAGAACATTCGGCACAAGTTCGTTGCAGAGTCCCAGGGCACGCTCATGGCAATTTTGCCTGTCCACACACGCGAGGAACGTGACCTTTTCCAGCTCCTCGTCCAGTCGTCTCCATTATTTTCGGATTCCAACCGGCAACCGAACTGGACAGCTCTCGCAGTCGTTTGGGCTGGACATGCTGATGGCCGTAACATTTTCTATAAGGTATGGTTTTTGTGTCGTGTATTGCACAATTTGCACTCATGACTTGTTCGAAAAGCTCCCAGAACACCTCAAGACATACTACAAGACATGGACAGATTTTTGCAATGAGCAAAACACAATTTCGCTCAACGCTGAAGCGAGTCGGCGCATCCGTGCTCTCGTCCGCTCTGCCCCAACCAATGTCACCATCAAAGCACCCACAGCACTCCCCACAACCCTGCGTGACTCACTGGCAGTCAGCCCGTGTGTTGACATCGACGAGGTCAACTCGTGGCAGATTGGCAAGCTACTCGCTGACCATGCCCTGCAGCGGTCAGCAGTCCACTATCTTTATGCTGACACCACTAGTATGCACATGCATTCCTCGGTCACAGGATCCTCGCGCGAGCGCAAACGAAAGGCAGGCAGCCACCCTACTACTACAACAGCATCAGGTAACTGACACGAGAATGATAAAGCATTGTAGAGCATTACCTGGTCTAAAATTTGTATAATATTTATCAAAATTGCAGTTCAATCGAGAAAGCTTTATATACCTGGACTAAGTTGGATGAAACCCACCAAAAGCACAATTATGCCAGACTACTTGCAACTACTCACCAAACCGGCAAATGTTGCAATCACCTGTCAGCCGCCACAAAGTTTCATAATGCTTACAAGGGCACCAGTTAATTGACCTTTTTACACTCATTGGTTTTATTTAAAAATGATTTTTTTTAATTGAACAAGTAGTAAGTACACATAGATGATACTACAGTAAATGGAAGCAACAAGGAGATCAAGAAAAAGAGAAGATCGAAGCAGCCACGACTGCGGGAAAGGACCAGGACCGCGGGAAAGGACCAGGACCATGAGGAGGAGCCAGGACTAAGGAGGGACCAGGAAGAGACCACAATGGAGGGCCAGGGAGGGACCATGGGGGGAGCCAGAGAGGGACCATGAGAGAGAACCAGGGAGGGACCATGAGGGGAGCCAGGGAGGGACCATGGGAAGGGCCTCGGACCACGATGAAGAACCAGCGAGGGATCATGAGTAAAGACGGTCCACTGTGGAGGGCCAGAGACACCATCATAGAGGCCAGGGGGAAAACCACAAGGGAGGGCCAAAAAGTGAGAGAGTAAGTGGAAAAGACTATGTATGTGGTAGTGTTAATGAAAGGGAAGTAATAGCGGATGTTGAACTTGACGAAAAAATTTCGGACGACTTACTTACATAAGCTTCCTGTAAGTCGAGCGTTGTGATGCACTGGATCACAAAGTTATGCAAGTGGTGGCCACCGGTTACCATTCAGTCGAAAAATGCTGGTACAATTACAAGACGTGATCTTCTTTCATCTAAATTGTAGTTTTTTTGTCACCTCTTATCCTTGGATTTCAATGTGTTTTTCTTATATATTACTTTATCTACCTTTATCGTTGCATGTAATCCCGTGAATTTCTGATCTGATATTACCAAATACAACTAGGAAAACCATCCCCTCGGCGATTTCCTGATGAGGAAGTTCAGAAGGTGTTAATGGACCTGGCAAGCGCACGAACAAGCCACGAAAGTGCCGCAACTGTCAAAGTACTCAGTGCTCAGGAAGATGGGCTGTCAAGAAATGCACATTACCTCTTGAACCGGTATGTTTTGTGACGAGTCTTCACACACTGTTTCACATTGATTGATTTTGGACTTAGGGCATTCAATAAATGACTGGGTTAGATTGCTTCGCTGCTCTCATTTAGCTTTCGCCATTGTAGCTATTTCGAACCGGCATCTTTTTATCATAGCGATGGTTCAACGTTTCGCGTGTCTAAGGAATGTTTTCCCTCTTCTCCCTCTCCTTATTTAATTTAATTAATTTTAATTAATATTTTGTCGATACCCACACCTATAGTTTGACTGCCACTCTCGGCAGTCAAACTATAGGTGTGGGCCATTAGGTCCTAACCGGAGTTTGAAACCTAACCTAACGCGGGCCGGGACGGACCACTCAGCGCAAACATTTGCCTTCAACAACATCCAGTTCCTCTTACGAGCGTCTCATCAGACTTCTTTCCCAGGACGTCACGCGGATCGTATGCACATATGAAGCCGACAGCACCACCCGTCAAACGAGGGCGTGGAAGACCGAGAGGAAGCAAGAATCAACCAGGTGCAGGACATGTTGGCAGGCCACGCAATGATGGACAGCCCCCTCGAAAACGGCATAAAGGACACGACGATGCGGAGAGTACTGCTCCAGGTGAGAATCTTTTCATATCGTTCCTCGAGCATCTTGACTAATGAAGAAAATCAGCACCAAACACCTCGCATAGCGCCACACAATCACCGCGCAATGGCAAGGTTCAACGTTGTGGCAAAGGTGAGTCATAAAATCTCTAAACTAACGATGACCTCTCATTCATGCCACCCTGCTTCTTACAGAATCCACTCCGACGCCACGCAGAGCCCTCGCAATTGATGTGGATTTGGACTCGGAGGTGTTCGAAAACCTCGATCCTCCTGCGAGGGTTCGCACCATCCCTCCCGCACTTCCAATTGCACCTCGTTCTGCAGCCTGCAGCGAGGTGCCTTTGAAGCAGACAACCCTTGCATTTCGAACGGCCGTGCAGGGTGCCAACCCAGGTGAGTATCTAGTGTCTACTAACCGTTATCTCCGGCGCTCTACTATCATGCTAATATCTGCCTCCCAAAGTGTTGGAGGCACCTACTGCCTCAACCGTCGTGCAAACACCGCACATTTCGCCCCTCAATACTGATGCCCAAGGACAGCAATCTGAGCCTGCTGCCAGCATTTCGCCTCAAACCTCAACCCACCAGCCACGGGACTTCTCTGAGTCTGGACTGGCCGCGACTATACGCGAGGCTGATCCACCTGCGGAGTCGGCAGCTACGAGCAGCGGGATGACTCGGCGGCAGCCGTGGAGGCACGATGCAAATGCACCTGCACTGCCACCATCACCAACGGTTGAGCCGCAGAGTGCGACGGGTCTTATTGATGGTACGTCTTTGCTGTAGCTGCTTCTGTGGTGTCCATGCTCACACATTATTTGAACTTCAGTTCCTGAGAACCCGTATGGCTCTGATCTCGAAGCACCTGCCCCTCGCGATGACACTGAAAGTGATCAGGATGAGGAAGCATCCCTGGAAGACGAGTTTCGCCCTGTTCCTGATGACGGAGGAGGAGAGGACGAAGACACGGAGCATGGAAGGGGGACCTCGACATCTGGGTCTGTAGGCAGATCTTCGTCGAGGTCAACAATGCCACTTTGGCTTAGCGAGTCCTATAAAGCTGTAGAGACGATGTTGAAAAAAAGAAATCAAGCAGAGTACCCGAACACCAGCCATGCCCAAGTGCTATGAGCAGCAGTGACTCTGGGTCGGGGATGCTTCACCCTTTCTGACGTTGCCTGACGCAACCCAACATTGCCGTCGAGCCCTCGATATTCATCGACCAGCCTTCTTTGTTTGGCTCCCGCACTGTTTGCTGGGTGACCGCATTCCCTGCCCTCAATGCAAAGCAACAATGAGCTGACAAACCAAGGAAAGCCGGTTTTTCTTCAGCGGCTTTGGATGGATCGGAAAGCCTCGACGTGTGGTTGATGTAGCTCGGAATGTCTACATCATTGGGTACCGCTACAAACTGTGTCCACCCTGGATGCCGCAAGACATATCGAAGCTGGAGCTCCGCAATTCTCAATGTTCTTCCTGCACCAGTGGCCATGCAATTCCCCTTCCAATTGACTTACCGCAGTGGGCTCTCAAATAGCCTCGTTTTGCTTTTGCACTCCTCGATCAGGGCAGGGATAGGACCAGTGCCATTCATGCAGATGTTGCAGTCATTCCACTACGAACACTTCGACAATCTTCACCTTCAATACCTGGAAGCTCGTGCACGACCGCTACAAAAGTTGTCCGAAACAGTTTTGGGTCCGCAAGCAAGCATTCGGCTTGTTCAGTGACCGAAATGGCTACGCTGGAATTTGTACCAAGTGCAGGGTACCTCCGTCGCTTTTATGACATGATTATCGAACAGCGATCGACGGAGATGAAACAGTGTATTGCCATGCTCCCGGCGAGAGTGCTCGCAATTGACCATAGCTTTAAGGTGCCTAGTAAAATCATGCAATATCTGCCCCGTATCTCTGACATGTATCGAGCGAGCAGATTATCAAACGGCTCGGTAGGGTGGGCAGTGCTCCCCTATTCACTGCACTTCATACTGTGGTGAATGAGTACTCTCCGAGATTCGGTCCATGCTCTTCACAATGATGAAGGGACATGATCAATACATGCCCATCTGCGCGAAATCAGCGAGTCACTTGGCGAAGTTTGGACATCCTGAGGTCCAGGCTGTTTCATCACCGATAACGTCCGCGCAGACAAAAACGAACTCGAGCGAGTGTTCCCGTCCCTCTTAAAAGACGTTGTCCCCGTCCTCCCACATAGTTCCCTTCCCCTGCTTGAATTTCCTCATGGATCATGGGACCGTCGTCGAGCTGAGCAACACCCATCAAGTCAATCACCGCTTTGATGTCATCATGAACCATCGAACAACGACAAACCCGAACGTTACGGTTGCATTCGACATGGAATGGCCAGTCAATTTGGAGACGGGAATCCACGGTCCTGTTGCCATTGATTCAAGTGGCATATCAAAATACTGTCTATCTAATTAAGGTCAGTGGCTATTTTTCCTACGATGTTGCTGGTTCCTTACATGTTTGCATGCACGCACATTCAGACTGCTCCGTTTCTCGAAAATGGTGTCATCAAGCTCCCACACTCCCTCCTCGTGTTTTTGCGTTCGCCACTGTTTAAGAAAGTTGGTGTTTCAGTCGGAGCTGACTTCAAGCGGCTGCAGAATGACTGCGGGATGCATCATGGTGCAGCATCGGATGAACCGTTTGCAGGACACGTGGAGCTGGGAGCAATGGCTAAGGAGCGTGGTGCTACCGTGAAGAGGACTGTGGGGCTTGCTGAACTCGTCGGAATACTTCTCGGCAGGCACCTACCGAAGGACCCCCAAGTCCGTGTTAGCCCTCGGTGGGCTGATGCAGTGCTCCCCAGGAGTACATCAACTATGCTGTGCTCGATGTCTATGCCATCTCCCAGGTGCATTTACAGCTCGCGGGGATGGACATTGCCCAGCCTGTTGTGGCCACCACCCCTAGTGGGACTGCAATTGCACTCCTGGCACCTGACGGACAGGAGGTGGCTCACGGAATTGTGGCCCTCGAACGTCCTCCTGCCCTCGATGGTGTTGACGTGTCACCGAAACGAGTCGTGATGACAGTTTCTAAGGTGCTCGTGTCATCTTTCCTGCTTCCTGCTCGCCTACAGGCAAAGCAGGCAAAATCACTCGCGTCATTCAGCAGTACTCCGTTTTCTATTGTTGCTGATATCCGAAACCTTCGCATCTGCCCCTCAACTCACAATGAAGGCTCTGATGGTCCATCATCTGGTTCATACACGGAAACCCTTGGCGACCACCAGGATCCCGAGTCTGGAGTCTTGGATGCAGGATATATTGATAGCAGCAGCCCTCTGACGAGCACTCTTGTCCCAAATGAGGATGAGTGTGATGGTGATTCGGAGACCAGCCCTGAACAGACTATCGAGGGCTCCTTGCGAGATCCAGCTGCAGAAGCTACACTTGTGGGGGTCATGGAGCCCTATGTGAATGTTGCAGCGAGGAACAACTCCATCATTCGTTCACGTGTTCTATACGACAATTTTCATTGCTACCATCAATTCCCGATCGCTCGCCACCATGGGCTCAGACGGCCGTTTGCACGAGCACTCAGTGCAGCATTTTTCATACCGGTCGTGGAGGACAAGGCCGCCATGGAAGCAGTACTGAAGGACTTCGGGACGACGTACAACGCTCAGCTTTTATCAAAACCTGAGTGGGTGCTGTCACGAGTCCGGCGTCATGTACCTCCACCTGAAATTCTCCTGCCCCGTGTTGCTGACGTCATCAGAACCTACGGTCCAATCAAGGATGCAACAACAGGACAACCACTTTTCAATGACCGTGCTTGGGAAATCGCAAAACACGTCATGGAAAATGTCCAGCTTGGATACTACTCAGATCCTGCAGACGTTGACCTTTACTTTGAGATCGGGAAGATCAGCATGGCCTGATGTTGTACCGCTGTTGCCGTGGCACCAACAGTGTCGAAGGTGGTGTTCACCAGAATCTCATACGGCGCTACACATCATTCAATACATTGCCTCTTCATGCTATTAATGTGCTGCTCGACTACGCTGTTTGTCAAATATGACGGTCCGTCATTCGTTCATTTAATTCAAAATGCACACTCACCTGTACAGTTGCAGGTTGGCAACATGAAAGCACCGGCCCAAAGCATATGTCGGACACTTTAATGTCCCGTAAAGAATCACATTGCTCGACTGCTGACCTTAACAATGGATGCACTAGTTCCTGCAAGCAGTGACTTTGTGTGTGGTTGGGTGAACGGCAATGACTACGAGCTCGCACACGAGACTTTCGGCATGATCCAGTTTTTTGCCCGCGTTTTTCAAGCCACTCGGAATGTTGGAGTTCAACGAAGTCTTTGCACGCGCAGAACATTCGGCACAAGTTCGTTGCAGAGTCCCAGGGCACGCTCATGGCAATTTTGCCTGTCCACACACGCGAGGAACGTGAACCTTTTCCAGCTCCTCGTCCAGTCGTCTCCATTATTTTCGGATTCCAACCGGCAACCGAACTGGACAGCTCTCGCAGTCGTTTGGGCTGGACATGCTGATGGCCGTAACATTTTCTATAAGGTATGGTTTTTGTGTCGTGTATTGCACAATTTGCACTCATGACTTGTTCGAAAAGCTCCCAGAACACCTCAAGACATACTACAAGACATGGACAGATTTTTGCAATGAGCAAAACACAATTTCGCTCAACGCTGAAGCGAGTCGGCGCATCCGTGCTCTCGTCCGCTCTGCCCCAACCAATGTCACCATCAAAGCACCCACAGCACTCCCCACAACCCTGCGTGACTCACTGGCAGTCAGCCCGTGTGTTGACATCGACGAGGTCAACTCGTGGCAGATTGGCAAGCTACTCGCTGACCATGCCCTGCAGCGGTCAGCAGTCCACTATCTTTATGCTGACACCACTAGTATGCACATGCATTCCTCGGTCACAGGATCCTCGCGCGAGCGCAAACGAAAGGCAGGCAGCCACCACTACTACTACTACACAGCATCAGGTAACTGACACGAGAATGATAAAGCATTGTAGAGCATTACCTGGTCTAAAATTTGTATAATATTTATCAAAATTGCAGTTCAATCGAGAAAGCTTTATTACCTGGACTAAGTTGGATGAAACCCACCAAAAGCACAATTATGCCAGACTACTTGCAACTACTCACCAAACCGGCAAATGTTGCAATCACCTGTCAGCCGCCACAAAGTTTCATAATGCTTACAAGGGCACCAGTTAATTGACCTTTTTACACTCATTGGTTTTATTTAAAAATGATTTTTTTTAATTGAACAAGTAGTAAGTACACATAGATGATACTACAGTAAATGGAAGCAACAAGGAGATCAAGAAAAAGAGAAGATCGAAGCAGCCACGACTGCGGGAAAGGACCAGGACCGCGGGAAAGGACCAGGACCATGAGGAGGAGCCAGGACTAAGGAGGGACCAGGAAGAGACCACAATGGAGGGCCAGGGAGGGACCATGGGGGGAGCCAGAGAGGGACCATGAGAGAGAACCAGGGAGGGACCATGAGGGGAGCCAGGGAGGGACCATGGGAAGGGCCTCGGACCACGATGAAGAACCAGCGAGGGATCATGAGTAAAGACGGTCCACTGTGGAGGGCCAGAGACACCATCATAGAGGCCAGGGGGAAAACCACAAGGGAGGGCCAAAAAGTGAGAGAGTAAGTGGAAAAGACTATGTATGTGGTAGTGTTAATGAAAGGGAAGTAATAGCGGATGTTGAACTTGACGAAAAAATTTCGGACGACTTACTTACATAAGCTTCCTGTAAGTCGAGCGTTGTGATGCACTGGATCACAAAGTTATGCAAGTGGTGGCCACCGGTTACCATCAGTCGAAAAATGCTGGTACAATTACAAGACGTGATCTTCTTTCATCTAAATTGTAGTTTTTTTGTCACCTCTTATCCTTGGATTTCAATGTGTTTTTCTTATATATTACTTTATCTACCTTTATCGTTGCATGTAATCCCGTGAATTTCTGATCTGATATTACCAAATACAACTAGGAAAACCATCCCCTCGGCGATTTCCTGATGAGGAAGTTCAGAAGGTGTTAATGGACCTGGCAAGCGCACGAACAAGCCACGAAAGTGCCGCAACTGTCAAAGTACTCAGTGCTCAGGAAGATGGGCTGTCAAGAAATGCACATTACCTCTTGAACCGGTATGTTTTGTGACGAGTCTTCACACACTGTTTCACATTGATTGATTTTGGACTTAGGGCATTCAATAAATGACTGGGTTAGATTGCTTCGCTGCTCTCATTTAGCTTTCGCCATTGTAGCTATTTCGAACCGGCATCTTTTTATCATAGCGATGGTTCAACGTTTCGCGTGTCTAAGGAATGTTTTCCCTCTTCTCCCTCTCCTTATTTAATTTAATTAATTTTAATTAATATTTTGTCGATACCCACACCTATAGTTTGACTGCCACTCTCGGCAGTCAAACTATAGGTGTGGGCCATTAGGTCCTAACCGGAGTTTGAAACCTAACCTAACGCGGGCCGGGACGGACCACTCAGCGCAAACATTTGCCTTCAACAACATCCAGTTCCTCTTACGAGCGTCTCATCAGACTTCTTTCCCAGGACGTCACGCGGATCGTATGCACATATGAAGCCGACAGCACCACCCGTCAAACGAGGGCGTGGAAGACCGAGAGGAAGCAAGAATCAACCAGGTGCAGGACATGTTGGCAGGCCACGCAATGATGGACAGCCCCCTCGAAAACGGCATAAAGGACACGACGATGCGGAGAGTACTGCTCCAGGTGAGAATCTTTTCATATCGTTCCTCGAGCATCTTGACTAATGAAGAAAATCAGCACCAAACACCTCGCATAGCGCCACACAATCACCGCGCAATGGCAAGGTTCAACGTTGTGGCAAAGGTGAGTCATAAAATCTCTAAACTAACGATGACCTCTCATTCATGCCACCCTGCTTCTTACAGAATCCACTCCGACGCCACGCAGAGCCCTCGCAATTGATGTGGATTTGGACTCGGAGGTGTTCGAAAACCTCGATCCTCCTGCGAGGGTTCGCACCATCCCTCCCGCACTTCCAATTGCACCTCGTTCTGCAGCCTGCAGCGAGGTGCCTTTGAAGCAGACAACCCTTGCATTTCGAACGGCCGTGCAGGGTGCCAACCCAGGTGAGTATCTAGTGTCTACTAACCGTTATCTCCGGCGCTCTACTATCATGCTAATATCTGCCTCCCAAAGTGTTGGAGGCACCTACTGCCTCAACCGTCGTGCAAACACCGCACATTTCGCCCCTCAATACTGATGCCCAAGGACAGCAATCTGAGCCTGCTGCCAGCATTTCGCCTCAAACCTCAACCCACCAGCCACGGGACTTCTCTGAGTCTGGACTGGCCGCGACTATACGCGAGGCTGATCCACCTGCGGAGTCGGCAGCTACGAGCAGCGGGATGACTCGGCGGCAGCCGTGGAGGCACGATGCAAATGCACCTGCACTGCCACCATCACCAACGGTTGAGCCGCAGAGTGCGACGGGTCTTATTGATGGTACGTCTTTGCTGTAGCTGCTTCTGTGGTGTCCATGCTCACACATTATTTGAACTTCAGTTCCTGAGAACCCGTATGGCTCTGATCTCGAAGCACCTGCCCCTCGCGATGACACTGAAAGTGATCAGGATGAGGAAGCATCCCTGGAAGACGAGTTTCGCCCTGTTCCTGATGACGGAGGAGAGGACGAAGACACGGAGCATGGAAGGGGGACCTCGACATCTGGGTCTGTAGGCAGATCTTCGTCGAGGTCAACAATGCCACTTTGGCTTAGCGAGTCCTATAAAGCTGTAGAGACGATGTTGAAAAAAGAAATCAAGCAGAGTACCCGAACACCAGCCATGCCCAAGTGCTATGAGCAGCAGTGACTCTGGGTCGGGGATGCTTCACCCTTTCTGACGTTGCTGACGCAACCCAACATTGCCGTCGAGCCCTCGATATTCCATCGACCAGCCTTCTTTGTTTGGCTCCCGCACTGTTTGCTGGGTGACCGCATTCCCTGCCCTCAATGCAAAGCAAACAATGAGCTGACAAACCAAGGAAAGCCGGTTTTTCTTCAGCGGCTTGGATGGATCGGAAAGCCTCGACGTGTGGTTGATGTAGCTCGGAATGTCTACATCATTGGGTACCGCTACAACTGTGTCCACCCTGGATGCCGCAAGACATATCGAAGCTGGAGCTCCGCAATTCTCAATGTTCTTCCTGCACCAGTGGCCATGCAATTCCCCTTCCAATTGACTTACCGCAGTGGGCTCTCAAATAGCCTCGTTTTGCTTTTGCACTCCTCGATCAGGGCAGGGATAGGACCAGTGCCATTCATGCAGATGTTGCAGTCATTCCACTACGAACACTTCGACAATCTTCACCTTCAATACCTGGAGCTCGTGCACGACCGCTACAAAAGTTGTCCGAAACAGTTTTGGGTCCGCAAGCAAGCATTCGGCTTGTTCAGTGACCGAAATGGCTACGCTGGATTTGTACCAAGTGCAGGGTACCTCCGTCGCTTTTATGACATGATTATCGAACAGCGATCGACGGAGATGAAACAGTGTATTGCCATGCTCCCGGCGAGAGTGCTCGCAATTGACCATAGCTTTAAGGTGCCTAGTAAAATCATGCAATATCTGCCCCGTATCTCTGACATGTATCGAGCGAGCAGATTATCAAACGGCTCGGTAGGGTGGGCAGTGCTCCCCTATTCACTGCACTTCATACTGTGGTGAATGAGTACTCCGAGATTCGGTCCATGCTCTTCACAATGATGAAGGGACATGATCAATACATGCCCAATCTGCGCGAAATCAGCGAGTCACTGGCGAAGTTTGGACATCCTGAGGTCCAGGCTGTTTTCACCGATAACGTCCGCGCAGACAAAAACGAACTCGAGCGAGTGTTCCCGTCCCTCTTAAAAGACGTTGTCCCCGTCCTCCCACATAGTTCCCTTCCCCTGCTTGAATTTCCTCATGGATCATGGACCGTCGTCGAGCTGAGCAACACCCATCAAGTCAATCACCGCTTTGATGTCATCATGAACCATCGAACAACGACAAACCCGAACGTTACGGTTGCATTCGACATGGAATGGCCAGTCAATTTGGAGACGGGAATCCACGGTCCTGTTGCCTTGATTCAAGTGGCATATCAAAATACTGTCTATCTAATTAAGGTCAGTGGCTATTTTTCCTACGATGTTGCTGGTTCCTTACATGTTTGCATGCACGCACATTCAGACTGCTCCGTTTCTCGAAAATGGTGTCATCAAGCTCCCACACTCCCTCCTCGTGTTTTTGCGTTCGCCACTGTTTAAGAAAGTTGGTGTTTCAGTCGGAGCTGACTTCAAGCGGCTGCAGAATGACTGCGGGATGCATCATGGTGCAGCATCGGATGAACCGTTTGCAGGACACGTGGAGCTGGGAGCAATGGCTAAGGAGCGTGGTGCTACCGTGAAGAGGACTGTGGGGCTTGCTGAACTCGTCGGAATACTTCTCGGCAGGCACCTACCGAAGGACCCCCAAGTCCGTGTTAGCCCTCGGTGGGCTGATGCAGTGCTCCCCCAGGAGTACATCAACTATGCTGTGCTCGATGTCTATGCCATCTCCCAGGTGCATTTACAGCTCGCGGGGATGGACATTGCCCAGCCTGTTGTGGCCACCACCCCTAGTGGGACTGCAATTGCACTCCTGGCACCTGACGGACAGGAGGTGGCTCACGGAATTGTGGCCCTCGAACGTCCTCCTGCCCTCGATGGTGTTGACGTGTCACCGAAACGAGTCGTGATGACAGTTTCTAAGGTGCTCGTGTCATCTTTCCTGCTTCCTGCTCGCCTACAGAAAGCAAAGCAGGCAAAATCACTCGCGTCATTCAGCAGTACTCCGTTTTCTATTGTTGCTGATATCCGAAACCTTCGCATCTGCCCCTCAACTCACAATGAAGGCTCTGATGGTCCATCATCTGGTTCATACACGGAAACCCTTGGCGACCACCAGGATCCCGAGTCTGGAGTCTTGGATGCAGGATATATTGATAGCAGCAGCCCTCTGACGAGCACTCTTGTCCCAAATGAGGATGAGTGTGATGGTGATTCGGAGACCAGCCCTGAACAGACTATCGAGGGCTCCTTGCGAGATCCAGCTGCAGAAGCTACACTTGTGGGGGTCATGGAGCCCTATGTGAATGTTGCAGCGAGGAACAACTCCATCATTCGTTCACGTGTTCTATACGACAATTTTCATTGCTACCATCAATTCCCGATCGCTCGCCACCATGGGCTCAGACGGCCGTTTGCACGAGCACTCAGTGCAGCATTTTTCATACCGGTCGTGGAGGACAAGGCCGCCATGGAAGCAGTACTGAAGGACTTCGGGACGACGTACAACGCTCAGCTTTTATCAAAACCTGAGTGGGTGCTGTCACGAGTCCGGCGTCATGTACCTCCACCTGAAATTCTCCTGCCCCGTGTTGCTGACGTCATCAGAACCTACGGTCCAATCAAGGATGCAACAACAGGACAACCACTTTTCAATGACCGTGCTTGGGAAATCGCAAAACACGTCATGGAAAATGTCCAGCTTGGATACTACTCAGATCCTGCAGACGTTGACCTTTACTTTGAGATCGGGAAAGATCAGCATGGCCTGATGTTGTACCGCTGTTGCCGTGGCACCAACAGTGTCGAAGGTGGTGTTCACCAGAATCTCATACGGCGCTACACATCATTCAATACATTGCCTCTTCATGCTATTAATGTGCTGCTCGACTACGCTGTTTGTCACAATATGACGGTCCGTCATTCGTTCATTTAATTCAAAATGCACACTCACCTGTACAGTTGCAGGTTGGCAACATGAACCGCACCGGCAAAGCATATGTCGGACACTTTAATGTCCCGCTAAAGAATCACATTGCTCGACTGCTGACCTTAACAATGGATGCACTAGTTCCTGCAAGCAGTGACTTTCGGTGTGGTTGGGTGAACGGCAATGACTACGAGCTCGCACACGAGACTTTCGGCATGATCCAGTTTTTGCCCGCGTTTTTCAAGCCACTCGGAATGTTGGAGTTCAACGAAGTCTTTGCACGCGAGCAGAACATTCGGCACAAGTTCGTTGCAGAGTCCCAGGGCACGCTCATGGCAATTTTGCCTGTCCACACACGCGAGGAACGTGACCTTTTCCAGCTCCTCGTCCAGTCGTCTCCATTATTTTCGGATTCCAACCGGCAACCGAACTGGACAGCTCTCGCAGTCGTTTGGGCTGGACATGCTGATGGCCGTAACATTTTCTATAAGGTATGGTTTTTGTGTCGTGTATTGCACAATTTGCACTCATGACTTGTTCGAAAAGCTCCCAGAACACCTCAAGACATACTACAAGACATGGACAGATTTTTGCAATGAGCAAAACACAATTTCGCTCAACGCTGAAGCGAGTCGGCGCATCCGTGCTCTCGTCCGCTCTGCCCCAACCAATGTCACCATCAAAGCACCCACAGCACTCCCCACAACCCTGCGTGACTCACTGGCAGTCAGCCCGTGTGTTGACATCGACGAGGTCAACTCGTGGCAGATTGGCAAGCTACTCGCTGACCATGCCCTGCAGCGGTCAGCAGTCCACTATCTTTATGCTGACACCACTAGTATGCACATGCATTCCTCGGTCACAGGATCCTCGCGCGAGCGCAAACGAAAGGCAGGCAGCCACCCTACTACTACAACAGCATCAGGTAACTGACACGAGAATGATAAAGCATTGTAGAGCATTACCTGGTCTAAAATTTGTATAATATTTATCAAAATTGCAGTTCAATCGAGAAAGCTTTATATACCTGGACTAAGTTGGATGAAACCCACCAAAAGCACAATTATGCCAGACTACTTGCAACTACTCACCAAACCGGCAAATGTTGCAATCACCTGTCAGCCGCCACAAAGTTTCATAATGCTTACAAGGGCACCAGTTAATTGACCTTTTTACACTCATTGGTTTTATTTAAAAATGATTTTTTTTAATTGAACAAGTAGTAAGTACACATAGATGATACTACAGTAAATGGAAGCAACAAGGAGATCAAGAAAAAGAGAAGATCGAAGCAGCCACGACTGCGGGAAAGGACCAGGACCGCGGGAAAGGACCAGGACCATGAGGAGGAGCCAGGACTAAGGAGGGACCAGGAAGAGACCACAATGGAGGGCCAGGGAGGGACCATGGGGGGAGCCAGAGAGGGACCATGAGAGAGAACCAGGGAGGGACCATGAGGGGAGCCAGGGAGGGACCATGGGAAGGGCCTCGGACCACGATGAAGAACCAGCGAGGGATCATGAGTAAAGACGGTCCACTGTGGAGGGCCAGAGACACCATCATAGAGGCCAGGGGGAAAACCACAAGGGAGGGCCAAAAAGTGAGAGAGTAAGTGGAAAAGACTATGTATGTGGTAGTGTTAATGAAAGGGAAGTAATAGCGGATGTTGAACTTGACGAAAAAATTTCGGACGACTTACTTACATAAGCTTCCTGTAAGTCGAGCGTTGTGATGCACTGGATCACAAAGTTATGCAAGTGGTGGCCACCGGTTACCATTCAGTCGAAAAATGCTGGTACAATTACAAGACGTGATCTTCTTTCATCTAAATTGTAGTTTTTTTGTCACCTCTTATCCTTGGATTTCAATGTGTTTTTCTTATATATTACTTTATCTACCTTTATCGTTGCATGTAATCCCGTGAATTTCTGATCTGATATTACCAAATACAACTAGGAAAACCATCCCCTCGGCGATTTCCTGATGAGGAAGTTCAGAAGGTGTTAATGGACCTGGCAAGCGCACGAACAAGCCACGAAAGTGCCGCAACTGTCAAAGTACTCAGTGCTCAGGAAGATGGGCTGTCAAGAAATGCACATTACCTCTTGAACCGGTATGTTTTGTGACGAGTCTTCACACACTGTTTCACATTGATTGATTTTGGACTTAGGGCATTCAATAAATGACTGGGTTAGATTGCTTCGCTGCTCTCATTTAGCTTTCGCCATTGTAGCTATTTCGAACCGGCATCTTTTTATCATAGCGATGGTTCAACGTTTCGCGTGTCTAAGGAATGTTTTCCCTCTTCTCCCTCTCCTTATTTAATTTAATTAATTTTAATTAATATTTTGTCGATACCCACACCTATAGTTTGACTGCCCGACTCTCCACCAGTGTTTCGTGTCTTACTTTGAAGCTTATATTTACGCGGACGTTCTTTCTTCTATTAGATCTGCCTGTTATCACCCTATTTTTTTTCACCACTGCGCTAAAGGTGTCGTCGTGAAAACAGGTTTGCAATGGTTGTGCAATAACATTAATATTGCTTGGCAGGAGTCTTTGACATGTTACGGCTTACCATGAGGTCGTGCTCAAATCCAGCCCTGTAGAGTTTCATAATGTACCTGTGACCTCGGGCATACCCTCCTTCAGCTGGCATGTCCTACCAAGCGCACAAACGGTAGGAAAGATATAATCCCAGCACTGGGAGGACCTATCTTCAACAACATGGCTACACCCACAGTGTCAACATTCGTTGACGCTGTGATCCTGCGCCCTATCGTCGTGGCTATAAACACCCTTGTGCTCGCATCCCTCATGTCCTACGTGATGGCTGAACAGCTTGAATGGAGGGCGGTACGTCCTCTGTTTCTGGATTCCAGGCCTTACAGTCTTCTAATCGAATAATGCAAAAGATCACCGTATGCGTTACATGCGACATTCTTGCTGTCGGCGTCGACCACTTTAAGGATCAAGAAATTGACATTCGCGCTTGCGGCGCTGCTGTCGTAAAACGTTTCGCCCCCCTGTTCTACTTTGCACGCATTTTTTTGGTCTTAAATGCATCGCTGCTTGTGATTGCTTTATGTCAAAGTCCACCAAAAATGACAATTGTCACTGCAGTTTTTACTGCCCCCGCTTTTCTGTGGGCGACGCCGCTTTATCCTCAGAGGATTGGTGCAGTAATGGAGAGGTTCATACGTGCGAAGCACGTCCAAGAAGTGGGGCATAATTCATCCATACCTGGTGGTCCATTCATCATCAAACGAATTCCTGGTATGAAGGCTATATTTAATGGCATCATCCGAGGGTATGTGCTATCGTATTCTGACGGTTTATCCAATTTGACTTGAAGACAGTTGTGGGATATTCTTCGTCGTCCACTCGGCCCTGCAGGAATTATGGAAGTCAGACTACAACGCGCTCCCATGGTCGATCATCGAGACTGTCATTTGGTCGACAGTCAATCGCATTTGTCACTCTGTAAGGTAATTTTCTCCCTGGGATTGAACTCCAAGCTCATGATCTCCCAAAGATTATGACAGACGTGCGTGACTTTGACGAGGACGAGAAGGCAGGAGTCCCGACCATACCTGTTCTTCTAGGATCCCCCCTTAAGACTCGGATAGTCTTGACTATTGTTCAAGCAGCCGTTATGATGGCATTTCTCGGCAACCCATACATCTTAGGGAGTTCCTGCTTCGCGATTGCTCTTGTTTGGGTCTTAGGGAAAGATTCTCCGAAAGTGTATTTCCTCTTCAGCATTCACTCACAGTCAATGTTCATTGTTATGTACGCTGTTATAAAAAGCTGTTCTCTCTAGACTACTGGTATGCATCTTAGAGTTGCGTTTTTAATATGATCTTGGGCACGCTTAATGGGAAATTTTCAACCTAACCCCAGACTTGGTCGTACTTTCCGCCCTCCTGCGGTGCTTTCTCAGTGCTTTTGTTTGCCAATGTTTGGGGTCGCTGGTGTTTTCGGAATTCCAATCTCCTTTTTTCTGTCTCACTTCTCCCTCTCCCTTTCATGATTGGCCTAAGTCGTCCGCTCGTGCGCATGCCTCGAGTCGAAAGCACGAGGGAGTGGCAAGCAAGTCTTCTGATCGGCTTCCCGTACGTATATTTCGCAGCGAGGCAGCGATCCAGATAGGCAAATGCATAACGGTCGCCGTTTCACTCGCCGCCAGGACCACGCCACAGCTATCTCCACGCTAAAGCGATATTTTTCGATACTAGACTCGATGTCGATGCCTTTGCCACTCATTTCGAATCTTTTTGCCTATGTCCACCACTCTGAACCTGGCACATAACCCAAAACCTTGACCAATTGCTACCACACGAACCAAAAACATCAGGGGTGTGGCTTTGTCTTTGCATACGAGGGCCGTTCGCCTCGATTGTGTATTTGTGCGTTCGCGTGCGGCATTGCCCTCTTCCCGCCAATCTGAAAGCATGTGATGACCAGGGTTAAGTGGCTTTGTCTTTGCATACGAGGATTGTTCGCCTTGATATATCTGGCGTGGTTTATCGGTGCATTCGTACGTTCGCTCATGCGCGTGCGGCATTGCCCTCCTTGACCCAAAAATCATTTGATAAACACATAACCTTGACCAGACCCTTGCATACCAGACAAATCTGGATATCCACGCATCTGTACCATTGACCAGACCAATCTGAAAGTATGTGATAACCAGGGTCAAGCGGCTTTGCTGTGCATACGAGGACCGTTCGCCTTGATACGTCGGGCGTGGTTTATCGGTGCATCGTGCGTTCGCGTGCGGCATCGCCCTGTTCCCGAATCCAAATGCATTTTAAACAGGGTCAAGTGGCTTTGTCTTTGTACACGAGGATCGTTCGCCTCGATACGTCGGGCGTGGTCTATCGGTATATTCGTGTGTTCGCCTGTGCGCGTGCGGCATTGCCCTCAACCCGCCAACCCAAAAATACATAACCTTGACCAGACCCAGCGTATACCCTCACAAACGCATAACCACGCACCCATACTATTGATCAGACCAGTGCTTGTCCACACAGAAACGCGTATAACATGCAGTCATATCATTGACCAGTGTATAACCGATAAAAATGTGTATACCACGCAGCCATCACCCATCCGCATGAACGAAACCAGATGGACGACGCATATGAGGACCTTTGAAGGAGTCTATCGGTGCTTCCACGCTTCGCGCGGCGTGACTCAGTCTACCTTGGCTTTTGAACCGTTGTCAGGGCATGGACCTCTGATCTATGATGTACACATTGTTGCTACACAAAGCTCCGTTGTGTTGCCAAGCTGTTGCCGTACGCTGTCGGATAGCTTCGAGTTGGATCTCACCTCAACCCTGGGTTGTTTCAGGCGTGTACGCATGAAGCGAAGTGGAAGCCCGTTGCCCGTCGGGAGCATATCCTGCCGAATTCAATCGTCATACCTTTTTTTTAGAGTCCTTCATGGATTGCATAGTCGTAAGTTGTTAGACATTTGTTTCATATCTCCGCCCTCATCACAGGATTTTGCAGGAGCTTGGCGCCTTGACTTTTTGACGGTTCTTTCCGTCAACGTGAGATAGACCAAATGGTTTCTGCCAGGTCTTGTTTTCAACTGGAGCCTTCGGGCCTGTTGATGATTGTCGCATAATTTTTTGTTCCTCCCTTCTTCGTGAAGGGTCTTAGTCTGGACTACGGTTTTGCGTCGATTAAAGACGATGTCGTATTCCTTGATCCTATTCTTTGTGTGTATTCATATATACTGATGACATGATATTAGCCTTCATAATATCACACTTGTCCGTCTTTGTCAGAGGTTTAAGCAGTGTACAAATCAAAGAATATATCCACCGGGAGCAACTCACCGACGTACTCGTCTCCCTCCTTGTTTTCCCCGTGGCACTTCGACAGGCACGTTAGAATACATATATGTTTTGAATGGCTGTTATGACCTGCTTGCGCTTCGTCTTGCGGTACGATGGGGAGGTTTATATGACAGATGACATGGACATTCGAGTCGGTGTTGTCTCAATATCAAGATGCGATACGAAGATGAAAGTTGCCAGAACGGTTGCAGAACCTGCGTCAAGTATCCCACATCTTAGTAACGCGTATGGTTTGATGGCCTCACCGAGGTCCGATGAGACGTTCCCTCTTTTATCAGATGCCACCATTGTAACAGAGCTGACAGCTGCATTGACAGCGCTAGTCGATCACCGTCCCAGCATGTCAAGAGCACTGCCGTGAATGTTCGGCTCTTTGCGGACAGCGAGTACGGTCCGGCACGTCGGATTAAAGTTGCCGCAGTTCAGTTCCAGATTCAGCAACTATGTTTTCTTGCCAATTCCTCACCCTCGAGCCCGAACCAGGAGTAGAGGTTCGCCAATTGCATGGACTGGTCACGTATGGTTCTGTTCGAGTTCGAACCAGTTCCAGACCCAATGCCCATTGGCTTGGTAGCATTAATGAACTTGCGCAACTTCCCCAATGCCCTACTCACGTGTACGGAACATGCTGAATCCATGCGTCTTCGTCAATTTTCATGGAGTCTGACTGCACATACAGACACCTGTTCTAACGATTTTGGGGATAGCTGAAGGAGAGCTGACGGCTGACGCCACTCAAAAACATTGAACATTTAAGTCAAGACGTACCTTTCGCTTTCCTGTCTCGAGTTCAGTCATTATTGCACATCAGTGAACCGATGAACAAAGTAGAAGGTCATATATCACTATATATAGTACACAATCGCAAACATCAGCATAATTCTGCCATCGAGGATCATATTGTTATCTTTGGCCTTATCGAGGAAAGTAAATTGTCTGATTTTCTTACAAAAGTGTATGATCGAGAAAGGGTGGTAACATCACTCTAACTTAAACTTGAAGGGAGGGTGCAGCAAAAGCTGACGGTTGACCTAGACGAATCAAAATTGTGATAGCCGGAAGTAAGGTTCGTGACTTCGAAGGTAAGACTGAAGGTGCGTATATTGCAGATAATAAGGATGTGTTCATCCGAGCAAACGAACGTAAGTTTATGTCCTGTTTCAACTGTTCAAGCCATTTCCTTGAGATGTTAAACGATTGTCCACGATATACAAATTGGGAATGTGTGTGAATATGCTTTACCATTGCGCAATGCGTGTGAACAAGGTATAGATTGTGCACAGCCCAGGATATGTTCACCAAGCAAACGACAATCAATTTATACCGTGGTTTGAGTATCCAGGCGATCTTCTTTGAGTGAATCATGATTGACAGTGGTATCTACCTGTGACGGCGTCCCAAGCACTCATAACTGTTCACGGACACTGCGTACTTATGATATAGTACCTAATCTCAGAACTCCACAGTGAAAGGTCATGCCTGACATCGTCACCCTGCTTACCATTTGACAACCCTACTTATAGCTGTTCACGGACACTGCGTAGTTATAAAATAGTACCTAAAGTCAGAACTCCACAGTTGAAGGTCATGCCTGACATCTTCACCCCGTTTACCATTTGACAAGCCTACTCATAGCTGTTCACGGACACTGCGTAGTTATAATATAGTACCTAAACTCAGAACTCCACATTGGAAGGTCATGCCTGACATCTTCACCCTGCTTACCATTTGACAACCCTTTTGTATGTTGTGCCATGAATCAATGTAATCGCGTGCCTTTGCACCCTGTGGCATGTCTCATTCTGTCACCGTTCTGTTGCCCGCGGATATGCGTTGCACTTTGTTCGATTTGTTGGAAATTATGACCCACAGTTAGCAACACTGTCTGTTTTCGCACCCTCTGTATACTATTCACTTTATTGTTTTCTTATGGCGCGAGTGCAAATACAATATAGATCTTCACGTCAAAGAATTATGAGCAAAACATGACATTGCAAGGGTAGGCTACTATTGCGATCTATTGATAGTGGCTGGCACAAGGCGTAAACTACTCTGAATCAAACTCCATATCATCCATTCGCGCCCTCTGCTCTGCGAGAGCATTCACTGACATCTTGGCCTTTGCTGCATCACTCAGTTCCGCACGATGACTCGTTCCGAAGACTTTTCTAATGAATGGAGATCAGTTGACGGTTGTTAAATTGCGATCAATCTACCTTGTCCACCATGCCAGGAGCCGGTCAGTGTTGCGCCGCGCTACTCGACCGGGAGGGCATTCAAAAAAGTCCACGATGTTGGACCAGAACTGTGCGTAATCAAAGTCGCCGTCCACTGACCGCCATGAGGTCACGGATGAAAGCGCGAATCGCAACTGTACATGTTATACATTTTAGTGATCGGTAAGGACAAAATAGGCCGCTTACTTGACACGATACATACGCAATCGAGCGGGGTGAGACTTTGTGCATGTTGATGATTTGGGCTACGTGCATTTTGACTCTCTTGCCAGAAGAATCCTTCTTCGCGCGTCTGTTATTTTCGATGACGTTGGCACCGTCGCCATCGCAGACAACTTCCTTTGCTGAGGAGGGGGATGTGAAAATAGCCTTGAATGCCTGCCAGGAATGAGATACTCGTAGAGCTGTATATTTATGACAAACCTGAATTAAAAGCTTGCTTTTGAACAGACCTTCCTCGAGATTATTTTCATCGGCAGTATATCCTGCATAAAGGAACGCTGGCCAGGACATTTCCGTCACAACATGTCCATCCGTGCGATCCCTAATTCCTGCTCTGACACTGGTGGACAGTTAGTCTCGAGAAATCATAGTAAGGGCAATAGTTACGTCGGGTTGTTCCAGTCTAGCTCTGTTGGGCAGAGTAGTCTACCACACGCGTCGTTGGTGAATCCGCGGTGGTGTTTATCTTCGGAGTCGACGGGGGGATCGGGCTTCAAGTCACGGTTGACCCAATCAGAAACGAGACTCTTGAGTTTTGAGGTATCATCTCCTCGAGCACTGTCGGCCCCCTGCCTAAGCTGAATAGCAATTGAATAAGGCCAATCGTTGATACTGGAAAAGCGCACCTTTTTTAACATCTGCCTGTAATCATGGTGCTCCATGTCAGAAGCCTTTTGGTGAAACCACGGGAGGACATTGTTAAGGATTATATAACCGCGTTGTAAACGATTCTGACTGGTAACAAACCGGTGAGTAGCTTTCAGGAGGAGATGGTGAAATACCAACTCGGGAGTCACATCGTCGTCCTGGCCCCCAGTGTCACATCTCCTATCATTTTCGCATATCAATTGCTCGATGCTATTGAACAGTGTAACGATCCGTTTGAAAGCTCGTCCTTGTGACATGTAGTAGTTTATTTCTCTGACAATGGTGAGCGTACTGAACTACATGTTACTAATGATGGCATTCATACCTGCGTTTCACCGCATGTCCCGACTCAAGCGCTTGTAGCTTATCCTCTAAGTCAGCTATTTTCCACCTCTGTCGAGCATCATCGTGTGTCGGCACTGCAATGGACGATGCCGCAGCAGGCCGGGATGATGCTCCAGGCTGCAGGTTACTAACCTCCGCCTGGGACATGACTTCAAAAGCGACGAGGGGGGAAAAGAGATTGAGGAAAAGGTAGGACATTTCCGCCTGTTTTAAAGGCCATCCAGTATCAGTATCGCCGTCAATTGCAGCTGCCCAGAACATGATCACACGCCTATAATGGAAAGTTTCACACAAGAAACGGCTAATCATAATGTCAGTACTCACCGTTTTGAGCGACATCCAAAAAAAACACCCATGCCATTTCTAAACATGCTTCCAACTCAGCCGTCAACATAAAACTCAATTTACCATGACACACAGTACTACCGTGGGTCGGTATCGATATGGGGCCACATGTCCAGAGGCAGTTTATCATCCAGCGATCCTGTTCATTTTAGTATGACATGCTAACAAATGCGAGAATTGAAGCTTGTGTACAATGCGAAGGGCAAGCTTGACATTCAAGGTGTAGAGTGCCACCACTACTGCGCAGACTCGGAAAAATCGGACTCAGACTCGGAGTGCTGGATAGCCTGAGAATCCTTGGTCCTGCCAGTGAGTGACGTCTAGTAAGGAATCAGTTGAAGTGCAGATCCGAGGTTGATCAGAAGATTGGGTCTGCTTTGACTTGAAGGAAATAAATCAGCTGCCGCGGCAATATGATTGAAGGATTAATGGACTAACTGTAAAGGTAGTAAATACTGTGAAGAGCTCGCACTGAGGTACTAGTAGCACACTGGCCACAGAGCCAGATGGATCGAAGATTGCAAGTTGATGGTGGCTTTGATGCTTTGGAAGCTGTGACTGAGTGCCATGGTGGCGCATGTAGTAGCCGCAGGTCATTTGACAGCCTGAGTCGGACTCAGAGGTCTTCGAAGACGGTCTTTGGTAAGATCCACAACCCAGGAGTAGTGTTAGGAATGTGTTATGATTTTGCATCATGGGACACATACCGAGGCAAGCAACAATCTATTAGTATTGATAATGGTGATGGTGCTACGGGAAATGCGTATACACATATTAACAGCGACAAACAACGCGTGGACGACAAGGCCTTGTGTCGGTTCATTTCTAAACGACCATACCATTCCTACAGACAATTTTTTTTGGCCTAGGAGACAGCGGCTCATTAAGTTATACGTCCAGATGATACCCAGTCAAAAGATCGTATTTCGTACTGTTTGCCAAAACTAATAATAGAAGACTGGAATCATAGTGATTTGTTTAAAAAGAAAGACGGCTGTCAAACATGTCCTCATCCTCATCTCTGAGCCCATCTCCATCTCCATTATCTTCATTCTCCAGCTCCTCGTCACTAAGCTCCTCGTCACTAAACTCCTCATCTCCCTCTACCTGTTCATCATCACATTCTTTGTGGCCTTCACCATCGTTAAGTTCTTCATGGTCTGCATCAACAATATCCATAGCGTCGGCCGGTGTCAGTGAGCCAAAACAGTCTCTAGTTATCTTCCGTAGCGATACTGGATGTCCGATGCCAAAGTGAGTGTAGCGCAAGAACATATCTCGATCAGCGAATCTGATCCAAAGCTCTGTCAATGTGCTATAGGAGGTAATGTTCACACTCACATGCCAATATAATATGCCTCCCAATCATCTAGTTCCCCACCAGGACGCCCCAATGATTTCCCAGGCGGGAGGGAGCTTATACCTCGTCCCACGGCAAAAGCAGGAATAAGGTGAACTCCACGAATCACTTGGCCTGGATCGAGAAACCCAAATGAGTCAGGGTCTGATTCCTCAACAAACGCGACCTTCGGAAGACGAGCATGTTTCATGCCGCATTTATGGTTCTGCAATGGCGCTAGCCATCTGACCCAGAGAACTTCAAGGTGGTGCTTCACGGGTTGATCTCCGATGTGAAGCCATGCTTCCATATGGTAGATACCTAATACGCGAGCATACCAGTATGGGTGCTTAGGTATTGTCTCTCCCGAAAGCACCATGATATCGGCATGTGTCCTAGGGTTGATTGTATCGTACTCGCGCCGGAGGTCGTATGTGGTGTAATGTACTTGCATGGTCTGGACTGAATAAATGATGTTATTAGGAATTATTACCGAGTTGTGTTCTTCGGCCGTGAAGGTGTGATCGCAATAGCTAATATCTAGCTTGCGCAATCTGTAAAGGATGTGGTCCTTCAATCTCGGTAAAAAGTTCTGATGGCTATTGTGAGAGAAACGTTCCTGCTACAATATCACACCTACCTTAATTGCCGGATCACCGTCGTGTTCTCGAAGGAATGAGAATAGATTGATTGGATTGCCCTGATTAGTCGCGATATGGTGATGCTTTTGAGAGGGCGCTGAAGGGGGGGCACCGGCGGGTAATTGACTATTAGAGCCTCCAGATTCTGCCACGCGTCGAAGTACACGGCGCCTCCGCTCGTGCTTAGCTAATTGCGCTGGGGTGTCTAATTTACTGGTCAGCGGATAAAATGCCTTTAAAGCTCTGTGTGCAAGCTCTCCCTGGCGAAATGTACGGTCAGGTGGATAATGGAAATAAAAAAAGGCGTATACCATTTGAGTGGTGTAAGAATCCGTTGTTCCGAAGAGCTTGATGGTCGTCGCATAATCCCCCATCGAATGAAACTTGTAGGTGTTGAGATTGAACTTCTTGACCCTCGGTCCACTTGATTCGGGAGAGGTGGTATTAGGTGCTGAGCGCTGAGCGAGCCTCCGTTGGCGAGCGGCTTGCTCTTTCGGTAATTCAATAGTGTCGAGGGCAGAGGTGTCACGTTGAAACTTCCGCAACATCCGAGAGAGCTTCTTGAACGTGTCTTCAAGAAATGCAACCGTAGACTCTGAGTGTATCCTGAGCTTGGTGAGCGCATGCCACTGTGCAAATCGATACAGCAGAGATTGCATGGTTGCATCATAGTCTGTTGGGAACAGCTCTTCGAAAACCGGAATAGAACACTACCGATGGGGAGAAAATGTCAGCGAGCGTACGAAAAAATGAACAACAGAATAAACCTGTAAGATATCTTCGAAGTCGCGCGCTGCTAATCTTTTCATCTCAGAGGTGTTGTCCGAAAACTTTCGAATCACGCCGTTACCAAATGTTGGGATCTGGCGAAATCTATGGTAAGATTAAGAGTCAACAACTCATTAGTAGATCGCAGCACTCTATATGAACTTCACATACCTTTCATCAAGAGTAGCAACGAGCTGGCTACCCCCAGGGAAAGCATAAAGAAGTCTGATGAGGTGCGTGAACAGCACCTTCCAAGTACCCAATTCGCACTCATGCATCAAGTCAACAACAAGCATGCGGAACGGGTCGAGGCCGAGCGGTCCAAGCTTCTTGACAAATTGATTCTAGGAGTATCCTATCTCAGCTGATCACAATTTGCGAGGAAAATTTGCGCTTACAATAGTGGGCACCCAAGACCCCTCTCCAAGAGCAGTTTGGACCTTTGAACCGTCTACAGTGTTTCCCCACTTGTAGATAAACTCGCGTGCCTTGTCAACCTTCGTCATAGCGTACACTCGGAGTGTAGTTATACGACTTCTCATGTCCTTGAGTAGACCAAGGAAACCAAACAAACTTTTTGGCGTGAGGCAGCGAGGACATGCACATGAGCCCATATCCTTGATGGCCGCAATTAAAACCCTGTAAAATCATGAACAATTCAGCAGTTTCAAACAAGGCAAAGGATGATGGTACTTCTCTGGATAATTGGCAGAGTATGTAAAAATTCTCGGAAATACCCTCCGCAGCACTCCATCCGGACATTGCAGAATAATACCGTGGCGATACGCTCGAAGAAATTCTTCGTCAAGTAAGATTTCCCAGCACGCATGGAACAACTCCCTACGGCAGTGCGTATGAAGCGAGGCCATGCCCGTCTTTGATATACCATGCAGGCTGCTCAGCACATCTTTGACACTGTCAGGAAGCTGACAAGGGCGGTTCGTGTCAATAGTAGTAGACGAGCATCCAATCAAGAGGACTTACTGAAGGTAGAAATCCCACTAGGTGGCATGCTCCCGATTGAGGCAATGAGCGTGCATACTTCGTCAGATTTCCAAAATAAAGGTAAAGTGGCCATGCCTTCGCAGTTCCGAAGTTTGCTAGGTGAGTGGCATCAGAAAAGAACATTAGACCTGCTATTACGCGTTCTAATGAACAACCAGGCTCCTTCGGCAGCTTCTGGAGATCGTCTTGAGCGTCCAGCCACGCATCAGAAGCATAGAGCTCATCGAAAACTCGCTCCTGATGGCCATCCAATGGATCCTTCCACAGTCGTTTGAAAGGCAACAGGTGGAATGCGCCTGCTTGGATGTCTGCAAATGCCGCGCGGATCACTTCAACAAGAGGGCGATAATGAAATCCGGAAATACTATACGCCTTTGGCCCCTCTTCCCTCGATCTCGTGGGGATGTCAATGGTAATGTCGGTCTCGATCCAGTCATCTGGGAAAGCGATTTTCTCCTCGCCCTCATCCCTATCCAACTCTTGCAAGCTCTTCTTCACCGAGAATCCCTCAAGATGCTTGATGTCGAACCCGTCTGCCTGTAGAACATCTCCGACGAGTCGCTGGACCTCAGTTTCCGATTTTCGGTGACTACCTGAATTCATCCAGGTCATGAGGCGATAAACGGTCATGTTCGGGAAGGGGTAAGGTGGCGGAAAGATTTTGGCTGGGGAGTCAGTTCCTTGAACGGCTATTGGACATGATTTTGCAAGCAATGTAGACGGGATGAATCTATCAGGCTCAAAAGAAGGACGGCGAGGGTATAGGCGACAGATTCCAACCGAGTTGAAGGCGGTCTGAAGAGTATCTCTTAGTGTTAGAAGGACACATCGAATTCTGGATGGGGCCGGGAGCGAGGGGGCATGAACATTATCGCAATCATTGAGATCCTCAGCCAAATGCTCGATATCATTGAAAGACCTTGGAACATGTCTCCTAGGAAGCGCAGGATCCTCTGAAACAGTAGAATGATCAGCAGATGTCAGATGCAGCTGCTACAAATATACGGACGTAAGATTTCATCACACTCATTTCCAAAATTAAGGCCGCCATCCATTGCAACACCAACATCAATTTGTCCCTTGTCCAAGTCTGAGTTGCTGAAGGGGTGCTGCAGCTCGGAGGCCGCTGTGAGACTGGGGACATCGAATGACATATGAGCTGTGCTAGACCTAGGTCTCGCTATGGGTTTACAAGCGGCAATTGGTTTCAGATGGACTCTGACATGCCCACTAGGCGCTAGTGGTAGGATCCTCTGTTGACAAGTTTACTAAGTCCAACTCTGACCTGAGTCGGAAGCCGACCGACTCACCTGCAATGTGTTTGTTGACGTGTTTGCAACAATGTTTGTTAAAGCTGCATCCCTCGCTCGCTCTAGTCTTTTCTGCGATGCAAGAAAGCTAGACCTCTTGAAAAAACTGCAAGTTGCTTGGTGTCTATTAAGTCCTCGATTGTCTGTTGCCCTCTCCCATAAGCAACCTCGAGCTCCGCAAGATACCATTGAAAAAAGAAGCAGGATCCAGAGAGCTTCTAGTAAAAGCCGCATGGGTTACACTGGCTATGTTACCAAGTATTGGCTTCAACTCAGGAAGTGCCCATCTGCCAGTGAGAGTTCAAGCTTATCATAGACTTGTTGCATGTCATTTCACATATCCATTTGTAGTCACTTATCTTTTTTTGCCTTATATGATGTTGCTTCAAAATGGAATCACATTATTAATAGATACATACACGTATTCATAAGAAAAAGAACCATATTGTTCAGCCACCGAAACCCAGTTGTCCTCCCTCTGAGCATGCCCTTTCAGTGTTCTACAACCTCTATCACAGGCGCTAGCCATCAATGTGGGGACAGGGATGAGCCTAGTCGATGTACGACTGGCCCTGCTTTGGAAGAACTCGAGTCTGCTCCAGTTCTTGACAATGATAGGATGACTGGCAGGACTCGCAGTCGTCAGGTCCCACAGAACAAACGTGCAAGGTCACCGTCATCTGACGATGATATAAATGGACCTGTAACCCCCCCCCCCCCCAATAATCCATCATCTTTCTCGTTTTGTGAAACGCGCTAAAGAAAACCCTAAGCCTTACAAGAGGGACGGTTTCAGCACACCAGAGCGCCGTTATTTCAACAATTCATTACGCCTCAATGACTCAACGACTCGGAGTCTAACAGATGCTCAGAGGGTACGTCAGGTGATATCTGAATATCCACAAATTGCTTATTGCGAAAAACATACCAGAGCAAAGATATACTCGAGCGTCGCATCAAACACTTGTCTGCTGAGGCCGCAGCTCAAGCTGTCGCTACGATGCATGCTGACGTTGAACGGAGGCGTGTGTGTGCTCTGGCAACGGCCTGGGAAATCTACGCGACTGAAGAGCACCTAAAGTTCCTTCATATGGTTCTCGAGGACGAAGGTGAAACATATGCCAATGCTGCTAGGGAGCCTTTGAAAACGTCGGTTGGAGAGCTCGTTAGATGTAGTGAGGACGAGCTCAAAGATCAGATTGACTCCTGTGTCACCGCATATAGCCATGATGTAATATCATTTGCTGTTGGAGACACGCAACTGGATTACCTCGAGAATACTCGTATGTGTGTCTACCCGCGAGTGATGTCGCTGCTGACGATCACCTAAAAGTCACAGACTCAGAAGACTCAGACGACTCGGGCATTGGTCTCACAAATTCGGACGGTGACCATTTCTGTGGTGAGGCATAATTATTATTGCTTCCGCCTGATTTTGTACTGATCTTTTCAGTAGTATCAGATACATTACAACCTGTGCAGTAGGAAAGCGGTATTAGCATCATGGTTTTATATATGATGGGACAAAGTTTCTCATGTAGTTTCGCCGATTTCGATCTGGGGCACTAGGTCCCCACTGTTCTCTGTCTCTCCTTTCCCTTTGCCGCACAGTACAGTATTGTACAGCATTGTGTCAGTATCCAGTCTCGGTTATCCACAGCTGCTAATGCACTTCATTCATCAACAAACCGAACCGTGATGTCCTCGCTATTGTCTGTCTCAAATCCGTTGAACTGTGCGTCCAGTCGTTCGCCAGACGCGGCCATGATGAGATGTTGCAATAGCCTGATGAGAAAATTATGTACGAGTCAGAATAGAACACTAATTGCATTAGGAAGGCACTTCAATGACTCCTATAAACCTTAATCTGAAGGGGCCCCCCCTCCCCACCCACACGCTCCAAACACAGGTTATCCTATTCTTGCATTATTTTGCGTCATCCACTACCACTAACCTAATTGCTCAAGCTCTCAGATCCAAAGCAAGACTCAGTTAGTCACTCGGTTATCAAGGTTTAGATGGTGAAGGTGAGCATAAATGGAGACCTCTTCCAGTAAGGTAGTGTGTATATATATAGCCGCATCTGATAGAAGTTCGGATATCAGCGTACACGTATCTACAACTATCTACAACCGGCGGCAAACGATTCCAGCTGGCCCTTCTGAATTTCCGCGAGGCTGTGTGTACGGCTAGGTACAATTCAATTGAACCCCATATGGCGACAACACAAGCTGCACCTTGTTGCACCCTAAACCCTAGGTCACCTAATGATAGCGGGAATTAAGGTAGGATGCCTTTCTGAACCAGACTTGTCGGAATTTGACCGTGTCCCAAACTAGTAGACATGAGCGCTTGAACTTTTTTACCTCCAATCAGAGGTGGCGACCGTGTATAGGGGCCAGGAAGAAGTCAAGATCTTGAAGCAGATCAATAGAGTAAGATGCTCCCCAATAACTAATAACGCTGTCCAATAGATTCAAGTTTGTTATCGCAGCTAGCATGGTAAGCCTGAAAATGATGACCAGCGGGACCTTCTCGTGTCTGCCCCGCAGCATTTTACTCTACCCACCCACCAACTTCAAGTTGAACCGCCTGCAACTTGAAGAGTCGTCAAGATGGATTCCAACCGGCCACAGTATCATCCGCCGAGTGTCGGGCACGGTAAGTTGTTCAATCTTTCTATATACCATATTCACATTTTTTTTAACTCACGTAGGGCACGGGCACGACGAATATCACGTCGATGACGGCAACAACCACTCCCTGCGATTCCCGCCGTCCACGCACGGGCAGGCAGGGTATGGAAACTACCAAAGCGACTCCTACGCGTCCGTGGGTACTAGTAGCAGCCATCAGGGTTTGCAATCGGGGCAGCTGCTGCCAGCACCTTCATTCCCAGATGGGCATGATACGGTCGGCCACTACGGTCACGCCTTCCACAACTCTACAGTATCGCACACCATGAACGACCCTTACCTCCCCTCTGACACCTACAACTCTGGCCCGGGGGTATCGCACGCTATGAACGACCCTTACCTCCCCTCTGACACCTACAACTCTGGCCCGGGGGTATCGCACGCTATGAACGACCCTTACCTCCCCTCTGACACCTACAACTCTGGAGCACCATACGCTATGAACAACCCTTACCCCCATTCTGACACTTACAACTCCACGATATCGCACACCGTGAATGACCTTCACCCTCCCTCTGACACCTACGGTTCCATGGTACCCCACAACTCAAACAATCTTCACGCTCCCCCGTCCGATATGTACTACTTCATGGGATCCTCTGGCTCGAACGACCTTCAACCCCCCCACTCTGACCCCATTCCTGACGTTACGACAAAGTTGGTCGTAGGCACTAGACCTAAAACCAATAAAACCAAGCGTCCCTCTAACCGGACGAAGTTTCTTGGTTCCAAGTACGTTTCCCAGGCACCACCTCTCTCCATGGAACAGGTGTCGTCCTCACCGCTAATAATTGTCACACCGGAGATCCTTCGGATTCTGAAGCAGGATGCTCGGATAGCCATGTTCAAGCTCTTGTTCGAGGAAAATCTCTTTCCGTCCGTGGAAGAAATGACTGTCATAGCCACGACTGCACTGGACAAAACGGTCGCTCAGCACTCTAAGGATTCTAACGCAGCCGAACTCGTCCATTGGAAATCAGGGTCAGACGGAAAAAACTTTCTCTCAAGGCTGAAAGGGGCCTCGAAGGAGATACACGGTGATTTTGAACAGGTGGCTGAGATCTCTTGGGTGTCAGCTTACGGGTTGGGCCACAATTTATCGAATACCAAGGCAGGCATGCAAACGTCACGAGTCGCAAGTCTGACAGCCCTGCTGTTGGACTTTCGATATGCGGATGGAATCTTCGAAGTATGTCATATATTCAAACCTTCTTTCCGTGATGTTTGATATTGATGTTTCATTTTAGATTACCTTGGACGACGGACAAGTTGTATCGTGTCGAATCCCGTTTGCCCACGCGGCCATATTAGACCTCCTCGAACATATATTATGCAACAAGCAATACTACCGTTATATCTTCCTCGATGGAGAATGCTGGATACCCCGCCTTACCAACGCCATCGCCCTTGCATCAACCTCGCGCTGTTGGTCGTTGGAGAAAGCCTTAGCTGGCCCGTGGTCAGTTGTGAAGTTTGGGGACGAGACGAATAGGGCTCGTTACAAACTCACGAGGTCTCGTATCGCTACGCTGCCTGAGGAAGAACGCGTGAAATTTGACACTTTGTTAGTTGACATGCGTCGTGCGTTAGAGTAATTTCGGGGCTCGGTAGTATATCCAGACTGCTAGTACTGCCTCGGCTTGTATATCTACCAGTGATTGATCCGAGTCTTGCTGCCAATGTCATTCATTTACCTCACTTCCTCCAGGACTGCTGCTAACTCGATATACTGTCCTCCCCATCTCCACGCAGCGTTAGACTTCCAGTCTGGAACGCCCTGAAGTACATGCTTTTGTGCAAGTAGTGATGTTCCGGCCCGGGACGATATCAATGCTACATAAAAAACTGATCTTGTGATACATAGTAAGAGTCGTGGTACAAATCAAAAGAACACACGCACAGTGGTTGCGTACCAGTTTAACACACACACCAAGCCCTACGAAGATTCCTTGACGCCCCTAAATCCAGTGATATTCCTCCCCCAATCTGTCATGCCCTGGCTCAATCTAGCAGCAACTCTCCCTAATCTCGATATCCGACGAGGGGGCAGAGCCTTTGGATGATCCTCGGGCATGGGGCTCGAGAAGTGGTGTCCGTGTCCAGAACGAGAATCCAGAATACGAGCGGCGACGCTGGACTGGTGCTTGCGCTCTCGTGGGGTAGTGGATAGAGGTGGCTTTCGGTCATCCGAAGGTGCGTTAGCTTTTTCTACCCAACTGGACTTCCGCTGATGCGAATTGTGCGTCTTGAGCCTTGACACTGACAGGCTAGTTTCTGTCTTCTTGCTTGCCAACTAGCCGGGACTTTGAGGGAGAATGCTGAGTGTGACCTTCGCAAACCAAGTACACTTACAATTTTCATGCCTGTGTCGCTGTACCACCGGAGATGGATAACTTCAACACCCTCTGTCTTTTCTAGTCGACCAAGGTACAGTTCAAGATCTCCATTGTCGAAGTATATTGAAGTGATGGCTGCAACACCCGTTCGCGATGGAGCCAGCTAACTCGGGTCTCAATATTATCGATCGTAGTCATTATCATGATGGAACAGTCGACTAGCAAGCAAGCCGCGGCTTGAGCCGCCGGCTTAGGCTTTCCAAAACTGAAGCCAGGCCCTTGGGCCTTTGGCAGGCCGTGACTTGGGCCTGGGCTCGGCTCGGCTTGTTTAGGCTCGGCTTCGGCTGGCCCGGGGCTTGAAGCCGGGCCGGAACATCACTATGTGCAAGGTCACCGGTCATGTTTGAATATGGTGTGTCCGAGTCGTCACTGATCTTCATTTGCTAGTTATTCTGAATGCAGTGCGTTTCAGCCTGAAGATGTAACATCACTCCTCTCCATCAAGCTCGCGGTGAAGTATGCTCAGCTCCGCGAGATCTTCAAACACGGTATGTTAGGCTCAGCTCACACAACACATCACTGACTTCTTATCGCTATATAGAACTCTCGTCAGACCCCACCATTCGCTCGCATCTTGCAGCGCTTTACGACACCCTTCTCTAGCAGAGCCTCCTGCGCGTTGTTGAGCCGTACTCGGTAGTAGAGATTGAGTATGTTGCCAAACAAGTCGGGCAAGGACAGCAAGACGTTGAGGCCAAGTGCGTGTGATATTTTTTCTCTGAAATAACAGTAGCTGATGTCGTGTTCCAGGCTATCGCAGATGATATTGGACAAGGTGTTCCACGGCGTGCTAGATCAGGGGGGAGGCTGCCTGATCGTATTCGATGAGCTACTAGTAGAAGCCGACGTGCGCCCTATCTTACCACTCATCCCGTCCATCATGCTCATCGTGTTTTTTTCAGAAACCGTATGGTGCAGCAATTGGGACTCTGGAGCAGGTTAGCAGTCGAGTCATCGCGCCGATGTGGAGTGGATATCATGGTCTGAGCTCGTGTCATTCTCGTATATATAGAAATATATTCAAAGGTATTGTCGGAAGTCGGTGCTACTAGTAGGCATCAAAGATAATGATCACATGCAGGGCCACTTCGTAGATCGCCAACAGAACCATCTTCGTCTATAACTTGCAAGCCCATGTCTCGGAGAATCCTACCGAAATGACACTGCGCTCCCTATCGCTGGGTGTCTCTGCTACTTGGGTGGAGGACCAGGAAGTGAGGTGTCTGCTTCAGAAGCGGGCACATGATATGGAGGGAACGTCGGCTGATATACAGCGTCAAGGAGCAGCTGCGAAGCCAGCTCGTAGTATTCGTAGACATCGAAATATAGCCAGAGGTGAATTGAGGTTGACTGCGAAAGGTGACTTGTCAGTATTGAAAGCATGATAGTAGTACTAGTTCTAGACTCGGACGCATAGATAGTACTAGTACTACTAGTAGGCTCGTCGGATCCATATCAGTTGCTACATCGAGGCTACATAATTTGAAAGTCTGGCAAACGTGGGATATGTTATTGGGGTGCTTTGCGCTCATTGGGCACCTCCGAGTCAAACGATATCCCATACCTCAATCCTCTTCATCCATCTGTGAGCGACACGTACTGGCCCAGCGCACATTTATGATATTGAATCAACACACTCACACTATGTACTTATCACCAGAATCCATTCAAGTTAGTGCCGGGGTGTAAATTGAGGCCATAAATACATGATTACATATATCAATATAATTGATGCAATATTTGAGGCACACGATATAGCATTGTAAGTCCAACATAAATAAGGCAATATGATATTGCTTAACAAGTAGGACGTGATCACGCTATTATACCTTGCCGGCTGCGATGGCGCAAAGCCATGACCTTGTCGGGAGCTCTCATACGAATGTAGATTGGATGTCAACTCTCATACGAATGTAGATATGTTGACAAGGGCTAGTGTTAATTTCCATGATAAAGCCTTAGATAACATTGTAGGTCCAAACATAATAACAGAATATGATATTGCTCGACAAGTAGTATCTAATTACGCCGTTATAGCTTACTGGCCGCGATGGTGCAAAGTCGTGACTTCGTTGCGAACTCTTCATGGTAATCTGTATTTTCTGACATCCATAGCTATGTACCAATACTCAAGTTTCTCGCAGTATACATAGGCATATTTAGGGGGAGCAGAATTATATTGTCCTACAGTTCCCACGGCTATCATACCACGGACTCGTCGATTCACTGATGGCCAATGTTGAGGCCTGCTGAAGTACGACTATCTAATGTAAGTGATTTTCGGCTCTTCCTCCAGACCCTTCAGTCATTTTCCATGTAGAACCCTGGCCCAGGACATGCCAAAAGGCCCTAGAACCATGGCTAGCCGGTCACCGGCCGGAGTTCATGTACTATGTAGAACCATGGCTGGCCGGAGTATATAGAACCATGACTGGCCAGTGTAGATATATCAATACTGGTATTCTTATAATTGAAAGCAATACTAGTAGCTAGCCTTATACCTACTAGATGTAGAATCAAGGCTGGCCGGTCATTGGTGTCTGAGTTGCATATCAGCTGGCTGGCTTCTATAGCATGTAGAATCAAGGCTGGCCAGTCATTGATGTCTGAGTTGCATACTGGCCAGCTGGCTTCTATAGCATGTAGAATCAAGGCTGGCCGGTCATTGGTGTCTGAGTTGTACACCGGCCAGCTGGCTTCTATAGCATGTAGAATCAAGGCTGGCCGGTCATTGGTGTCTGAGTTGTACACCGGCCAGCTGGCTTCTATAGCATGTAGAATCAAGGCTGGCCGGTCATTGGTGTCTGAGTTGCATACTACTGGCCAGCTGGCTTCTATAGCATGTAGAACCATGGCTGGCCGACTACTACTGGTTGCTAAGTTTCTCAAATCTGGTGTTCAGGACCCTTCCATATTATTCCCACACCCCGCATTTTCGATTTTTAGTCACCTACTGTGGGAATTACCCCACAACACCCAAAACATCGACCATTTTTGGGAATCTCCACAATATCAATTATTCCCACACCTTTCTCACCTCACTGTAGCTTCACCACCACACCACAACAGGTCCCCCTTCATATATAAGTAGTAGTTCAGTATATATATGTATAATATAATATAATAGGCCGCTTTTTTTGTCTATTTGTGTGCCTGCTCCTCCTCCAGGGCCTTTTCAAAATAGGGTAGGGTACAGAACATTTTCGCACTTTTGCCCCTTTGATAGGGGTGTGTTCTATTATATTCAGAACATGTTTATGAGCATATATGAGTAGATTCCCATCTTTATTTCACCCTCTGAGGTGTCCTACATCAATAGATATAGCACATATGCAATAAAACACAGAATATGCTCCCATTGAATTATTTCTAGGTGAACAGACTTGGAAAAATTATTCCCAGCATCTATTCAACAATAGGAATAAAGTATCAGGAGCCCAGGACTATAGGATAATCCCCTGTTGCATGGTGTGCCCCCCCTCTCCTGGTGGTTTACCCCCTGTGAAATTTTTCCTGTAGGACCGGACCTCAATTGAGGTAGGGGGTCTGTTTCTATGTATATCTGAGGTAGTTCTATCATATAGCTGACCCAGGACACACATAGGATCCTGCTACATGAACAAAAACATAGAAAATCGCATTTTTGACACTTTTGATGTTTTTCAGTGTCTTACTCTTGCACAAGTGATACACCCTGTTCATATATCATTATCAGAGTATATATACTTGCTCTTTGTGACAAGGATCAGCTCACAATAGGCCAGGGGTTCAAGTTAGTGTGAATGCTTGCTATTGCTACTGATAAGGAGCCCATACTTTCAATACATCGAAATTTAATAATCAGACACCTGGTGTAGATGTCAAATATATTCAGTATCATAGGCCTAAATGTACAGAACAATCTAACAAGAAGGGAGTCCTGAGGAAGTGAAATAGATAAAGAATTGAGTGTGGGAAAGTTCAAATACCCAAAACATCGAAAATGGTCAGTTGGGCAGTAGTTGGACTTTAATGCTGGGTCAACTCAGATATATACCACATTCCTTCCACCACCCTCTAACCTCAGGGCAGCATGTAGCATAGGTTCCTTCAGTAGTTTACAATGTATCTTACATATTTTTAATGAAATATTTGAGCTGTACCATATATAAATGTCACTTTGTATGAAAAGATGTCAATTGTCACTTTTTACACATATGTGATGTTACTTGTCATTCAGTCAGTCCTTGATGGATCTTTCTAAAACTTCATATTTATCTTCAGGGGCATATATAGGATGTACCCCAGGTCTTTGATCACTTATCACAGGCTTGATTACTATGTAGGCTTCTTATCAGTAGAAATACCCCCTGTACGTCATATATCACATTTGCACCCTATATAGGGCTGGTCCTTGTCACAAAGAGCAAGTATATATACTCTGATAATGATATATGAACAGGGTGTATCACTTGTGCAAGAGTAAGACACTGAAAAACATCAAAAGTGTCAAAAATGCGATTTTCTATGTTTTTGTTCATGTAGCAGGATCCTATGTGTGTCCTGGGTCAGCTATATGATAGAACTACCTCAGATATACATAGAAACAGACCCCCTACCTCAATTGAGGTCCGGTCCTACAGGAAAAATTTCACAGGGGGTAAACCACCAGGAGAGGGGGGGCACACCATGCAACAGGGGATTATCCTATAGTCCTGGGCTCCTGATACTTTATTCCTATTGTTGAATAGATGCTGGGAATAATTTTTCCAAGTCTGTTCACCTAGAAATAATTCAATGGGAGCATATTCTGTGTTTTATTGCATATGTGCTATATCTATTGATGTAGGACACCTCAGAGGGTGAAATAAAGATGGGAATCTACTCATATATGCTCATAAACATGTTCTGAATATAATAGAACACACCCCTATCAAAGGGGCAAAAGTGCGAAAATGTTCTGTACCCTACCCTATTTTGAAAAGGCCCTGGAGGAGGAGCAGGCACACAAATAGACAAAAAAAGCGGCCTATTATATTATATTATACATATATATACTGAACTACTACTTATATATGAAGGGGGACCTGTTGTGGTGTGGTGGTGAAGCTACAGTGAGGTGAGAAAGGTGTGGGAATAATTGATATTGTGGAGATTCCCAAAAATGGTCGATGTTTTGGGTGTTGTGGGGTAATTCCCACAGTAGGTGACTAAAAATCGAAAATGCGGGGTGTGGGAATAATATGGAAGGGTCCTGAACACCAGATTTGAGAAACTTAGCAACCAGTAGTAGTCGGCCAGCCATGGTTCTACATGCTATAGAAGCCAGCTGGCCAGTAGTATGCAACTCAGACACCAATGACCGGCCAGCCTTGATTCTACATGCTATAGAAGCCAGCTGGCCGGTGTACAACTCAGACACCAATGACCGGCCAGCCTTGATTCTACATGCTATAGAAGCTAGCTGGCCAGTATGCAACTCAGACATCAATGACTGGCCAGCCTTGATTCTACATGCTCTAGAAGCCAGCCAGCTGATATGCAACTCAGACACCAATGACCGGCCAGCCTTGATTCTACATCTAGTAGGTATAAGGCTAGCTACTAGTATTGCTTTCAATTATAAGAATACCAGTATTGATATATCTACACTGGCCAGTCATGGTTCTATATACTCCGGCCAGCCATGGTTCTACATAGTACATGAACTCCGGCCGGTGACCGGCTAGCCATGGTTCTAGGGCCTTTTGGCATGTCCTGGGCCAGGGTTCTACATGGAAAAATGACTGAAGTATGTGCTTCCTCAGCATAAGGTGTAACTTGAAACAAGCCCTCCATCTCATTTCAAAGTGCTCCTGGTTCCAACTATATTGTAGATGGGGAACCTCCACATCGCACAGACACGTGCAATGTTGTCATTTTCGGAGAAGTAGGAGCTGGCAAAAGCTCCTTGGTCAATTTGATCGCTGGGACGAACATGGCTGTGGTATCCCCCGATGCTGGGGGATGTACAACTGAAACTAATGAACACGAGATTTTGATTCAGAATGAGACGTTGAAGGTAAAGCTCTTCGACACACCCGGTCAGTCCAGTTCGCTGCTCTTCCCGGTTATCACTGACGTAGATGGTAGGTTTTGACGAGGGCCCTCGAGGTACAGTCCCCGACAAGGAAGCTCGAAGAATTTTGAAGAACCTTATTGGAACTCTGATGAAGCAAGGCAACATTCATCTCATCATGTACTGTGTGCGGGGTGAAAGAGTCATTCAGACACTCCGCCGGAACTACGAGTTCATTCGCTCCCAAATACAGAGGAAAGTTCCAATTGCACCTGTTGGTGGCAGGGTTATGCATAATTTAGGCTAATTACAGACATTATCGTTATGCATGGCTGTCACTAATCCCCCATCATCCTTCTTTATGCATAATGGTGCCTGCATCACACTGACCCCATTATAGGGATTTATATTCAGATTATTCTCATGCCCTACGCATTTTTGGCCACCTACCGTGGGAATTTCCCCACAACACCAAAAACATCGGCCATTTTGGGAATGTCCACAATATCAATTATTCCCACACCCTCCCCACCTCACTGCAGCTTCACCACTACACCATAATAAGTCCCCCCTTGTATCTAAGTAGTAGTTTGGTACATACATGTATAAAATAACATAATAAACCACTTTTTTTGTGTATCCATGTGACAACTCCCCCTCCAGGGCCATTTTAACATAACCTAGGTTGCAGAACATGTTCACACTTTTGCCCCTTTGATAGGGAAGTGTTCTATGGTATCCAGGACACACTTATGAGTGTATATGAAGAGATCCCCCCACATTTTTGACCACCTGAAGCGCCCTACATCATTAGATACAGCATATATACAGGAAAACACAAAATATGTTCCCATTTGTTTATTTCTAGGTGAGTAGACTTGGAAAAATTATTCCCAGCATCCATTCAACAGTAGGAATAATGTATCAGGACCTCAGGACCATAGGACAAGACCTTCTTGTGTAGTATATCCCCCCTCTCCTGGTGGTTTACCCACTGTGAAAATTTTTCCTGTAGGACCGGACATTAAGGAGGGTGGGAGATCTCTTTCTAAGTATATTTGGAGTAGATACATCATATGGATAGCCCAGGACACACATAGGATCCTACTATAGGAACAAAACCATACAAAATCGCATTTTTGACACTTTTAATGTTTTTAAGTCCCTTACACTTGCACAATTGACTAGCCCTTCATATATAATCAGTAGTACATTCACACATATGTTCTATGCCAAGGATCAGCCCTACATAGGGCACAAATATGATATATGATGTACAGGGGGTATTTCCACTGATAAGGAGCCCACATAGTCATCAAGCCTGTGATAAGTGATCAAAGACCTGAGATATGTCCTATATATGTCCCTGATGATAGACATGAAGTTCTAGAAAGATCCATCAAGGACTGACTAAATGACAAGTAAAATCACATATGTGTGAAAAGTGACAATTGACATCTTTTCACACAAAGTTACATTTATATATGATACAGCTCAAACATTTCATTAAAAATATGTAGGATACAAGGTAGACTACTGAATGAACCTATACTACATACTGCCCTGAGGTTAAAGGGTGGTGGAAGGAATGTGGTGTATATTTGAGTTGACCCAGCATTAAAGTCCAACTACTGCCCAACTGACCATTTTCGATGTTTTGGGTATTTGAACTTTCCCACACTCAATTCCTTATCTATTTCACTTCCTCAGGACTCAATTCTTGTTGGATTGTTCTGTACATTTAGGCCTATGATTATGAATATATTTGACATCTACTCCAGGTGTCTGATTATTAAATTTTGATGTATTAAAAGTATGGGCTCCTTATCAGTAGAAATAGCAAGCATTCACACTAACTCAAACTCCTGGCCTATTTTGAGCTGATCCTTGTCACAAAGAGCAAGTATATATACTATAATAATGATATATGAACAGGTTGTATTACTTGTGCAAGAGTAAGATACTGAAAAACATGAAAAGTGTCAAAAATGCGATTTTCTATGTTTTTGTTCCTGTAGCAGGATCCTATGTGTGTCCTGGGCCAGCTATATAATAGACCTACCTAAAATATATGTAGAAATAGACCCCTACCTCAATTGAGGTCCGGTCCTACAGGAAAAAATTTCACAGGGGGCAAATTACCAGGAGAGGGGGGGCACACCATGCAACAGGGGATTATCCTATGGTCCTGGACTCCTGATACATTGTTCCTATTGTTGAATAGATGCTGGGAATCATTTTTACAAGTCTGTTCACCCAGAAATAATTAAATGGGAGCATATTCTGTGTTTTCTTGCATATGTGGTATATCTATTGATGTAGGATGCTTCAGGGGGTCCAATAAAGATAGGAATATGCTCATATATGCTCATAAACATGTTCTGAAGATAATAGAACACACCCCTATCAAAGGGGCAAAAGTGCGAAAATGTTCTGTACCCTACCCTATGTTGAATTGCCCCTGGAGGAGGAGCAATCACACAAACAAACAAAAAAAGCGGTCTATTATATTATATTATACATATATATACTAAACTACTACTTATATATAAAGGGGGAGCTATTGTGGTGTGGTGGTGAAGCTGCAGTGAGGTGGGGAGGGTGTGGGAATAATTGATATTGTGGAGATTCCCAAAATGGCCGATGTTTTTAGTGTTGTGGGGAAATTCCCACGGTAGGTGGCCAAAAATGCGTAGGGCATGAGAATAATCTGAGAATATAAATCCCTATTATGGGATCAGTGTGATGCAGGCACCATTATGCATAAAGGAGGATGATGGGGGATTAGTGACAGCCATGCATAACGATAATGTCTGTAATTAGCCTAAATTATGCATAAATATGACAGCATTGCCTGCCAATTGTCCTTGTCGTCACATGTTTGGAATCCTATCAACCAGAGATGGAGCAGTGGTGGAGGGTTAACGAGCAAACCATCTCAAAAATCGGGATGACTTTTGCTGGCCACGCATGTGTCACCACGACAGAATCTAAGGACATGGAGCGCCGCAACCAGTCATACGTGCAAGCTCGTCCAGCAGTGTCGCTTGTCAAATGAGGTTCACGCTGAGCCGTTGCGAGACACTATCCACAACGTCCCTTCTGAAATGGCTCCAAAGTACGTCGAATCCAGACAGGATCTTTGTCCCGCATCTTTACAATATTGATAAGTAGGAACAAGTATACAAATATCGTCCTCTTTGGGCAGGCCGGGGCAGGAAAAAGCTCACTCGTCAATCTCACGGTGGGAAAGGACATGGCAACCACATCCAATGACATGAAACTCAGCACGATGCACTGGCAAGAATATCCCATCGAATTTGATGGCGAGTCTTATAAGGTGTTCGATACCGTTGGACTCGAGGAACCACAGCTAGGAATTCCTCAATTCCTCGATGCTATCGAGAATGCCTATAAGCTCATCCAGGATTTGGAGAAACAAGGGGGTATTGATCTGCTTCTGCTCTGCATGCGCGCAGGCAGACTCACTTCTACGCTTCAAAACAATTACTGGCTCTTTCACGAATTTCTCTGTGACAAGAAGGTACCCATCATTGTAGTGATCACGTACCTCGAAAACGAGGCCGGAGAAATGGACGACTGGTGGAAGAGAAACGAAGAAATCTTCCATCGCCAGGAGGTCCATGTTGCTGGTCATGCGTGCATCACCGCCATCGCAGGCAATTCTCCCCATCGGCATGAGGAATCGCGTACCACGATTCGCAACCTTTTCAAGGAGTTCGCTGCCGACGAGCAGAAGCAAGCATGGATAGGAGGAGACAGCCTGTTCGTGTCGTTTATGCGTAAGCTGAAGGACCTACTTGTGGGGAATGGGAAATCTGCCAGGGAGGATATGGTCTCTCGCCTCACCAAGCGTTGCGGTATGTCTCGAGATGTCGCAGAAAAGTTAGCTGATCGGATCAAGCCGTGGTAGAAGGAGCTATTTGACTTACCGTGTTCGATCAATCATGCTCGTCTTACTGTGGCTCTTGTCTTATGTGTATCTTGTTCTTTGTTCTACAACATGAGCATGAATACCGGTGTTCATGGCGTGTATGAAAGTCGCGGACCTCACCGTCTTCGATTTCGAGACACGTCGTTTGCTGAACACACCGAATTGATTCGAGCATGCAGTCTGCTAAGGTAGCATCCCGCGATTTAAGATTTCCAATCACATCGACAATTGCAAAACTGGCGTGGCGCAATGGCACGGTATTGCCAACGATACTCAGACTAAGGCTGATGCGGCGGCTAGTTCAGAGAAACGAAACCCTAACCCTAGACTTGGTTTCCTTATCTTGATTCTTCATCAAAGTACCAAATAAGTTTTGCAAGTTTGCATATCTCAGACGTAGAAGATCTTGCTGCATTTCTACCGGTACTCCAAGGACACCTAGCTGTCTAGGTTGTCGACAAAAACACAGAGGAATCATGACTCGATCAAAGGTCTGTGGTCTGTGATTAAGCACTTCTGTCTCCAGCCATGCTCATGCGCAGAAATGGATGGATTCCACCATACTCCATTCCTTAGAAACGACAACGAGGAGGCCGAGCAGGAAAATCGCGCGACGATGACGATCGTGGTATGCTAGAAAAGGGCGATATGAAAAATGAGCGCTTCAGCTCATATTACAAGGCTCAGCACATCATTCCTGAGGAGGAATGGGATCAGTTCATGGAGGCATTGAGACGTCCCTTACCTACCACCTTCCGTATTGCGGGAAGTAGAGAGTGCGTGCACTTGTGTCCTTCCCTACCAACTTCATTGATGGAGGCGTTAGGATCGCTCAAGCTCTCAATGATGCTATCAAGAAAACTTATGTCCCGTTGTTGAGCGATGTAGTTTTCGAGGATGAAGTTGTACCGCCTCCGTCTCGTATTCCTTGGTGCGGTATTTCCCTTATGTATGTACGATGTACGTGACTGACTCTGTACTTAACCAGGTATCCAGAAGACTTGGCCTGGCAATTCAATGTGTCCAAGAAGGTTCTGAGGAAGCAACAAGCATTCAAAAAATTTCACTCGTTCCTTGTACATGAGACTGAAGTCGTACGTCATCCTTCGTCTCGAGTCGCGCAGTATCTGATGCATGTAACAGGGTAATGTATCAAGACAGGAGGCGGTCAGTATGCTTCCACCATTGTTCCTCGATGTTCAGCCACACCACAAGGTAAAATCTGCAAGGCTACTTCCATAATGTTTAACCATAGCTCGGCAGGTTGTTGACATGTGTGCGGCTCCTGGGTCAAAGGTAAACTATTTTGCTACACCATTGCGTCCGTCCTTCATGGACCTTAGACAGCGCAACTCTTGGAAGCTCTACATTCACAGGATACTGCGACAGCGACTTCCATTCCTCCGGGACTTTTGATAGCGAATGACAGCGACAGCAAGCGGGCACATCTTCTCATTCACCAATCTGCTCGTCTTCCCAGTCCAGCTTTCATGGTGACGAATCTAGATGCATCAATTTTCCCCATCCTAAGACTTCCCGTAACAACCGGGGATTCCCGCCGTAGCGTCAAAAAGTCTCCCAATCAACTTCTGTTTGATCGCATTCTATGTGATGTGCCTTGCAGTGGTGACGGCACGCTACGAAAGAATATTGGAATATGGAAGCGGTGGCAGCCTATGGATGGGAATGGTCTACATAGGTCTGTTTCGTATATGCGCTCACTTTTCACCAGCTCATTTCCGACAGCCTCCAAACCCGTATTCTGCAGCGGGCCATGCGCATGCTGGAGCCAGACGGTCGCATCGTTTATTCGACTTGTTCGCTAAATCCCGTCGAAAACGAAGCAGTCATAGCAGCTGCTTTGAATTCCAATCCTGGTGAGTGATTTTGAACTGTTACGATCGACTAGAGTATGCTGACACGTTGGACAGATTTCCAGCTCATCGATGTGTCTGCGAAGTTGTCGGAGCTGGTCAGGCGACCAGGCATAAGTTCGTGGGCACCGACCGTCAATCGCACAATAGATACAACTTTCAAAACCTGGGATGCTTACAATGAAACCCTGACGGAGGAGCAACGAAGAGACAGCAAGATGTCGGAGACCCACTGGCCACCAATTAATGCAGAGTCCCTGCAGCTACAGCACTGGTATGTTTCATCTCGTACTAGTTGAACAACGTCCTCTGACCACAAGTTTTCGCAAGCATGCGAATATATCCCCATCTTCAGGATACAGGTGGATTCTTCGTTGCTGTACTCGAAAGAAAGCCGCGGCAAAGTAGTCATGCCAGTGTTACAGGGTAGGTTCCAACGCCTTCTTTTCCACGAATACTTCTTACGCTTGTTCAGGAAAAGAGATGCAGAAGAAGCCGAGATCACTATCCCGGAAGCCAAAAAGGCTAAGCTTGACCTTGGTGGTCTGCCAAAACCTCAACAAAGCGCTTCATTCTCGCCTACGCCAATGTCTGAAGACGAGGTTTCACATCTTTTGGTATTGGAAACTGTCGAAGCCGATACGCAAGCTCCATCCGACACGAAGAAAGGTGCATTCAAGGGTAAACCCAAGCTGTCGGATCCCTCGTTCAAGGAAATGCCCTACACATTCCTCGAACCCAACGATCCAGCCTTGATATCCTGCATGTGCGTGTTTCCTCATCATCGCCGTGATCTTCGAACTCTAATTCATATCATTAAAGAGATCAGCTTAATCTTACGGCGAGCTTCCCATCGTCGAACGTGCTTGTCCGCAATCCCGAAGGCGATGCAGTACGGTCTTTCTATCTTACAAACGATCTTGTGAAAGCTGTTATTCTGAACAACGACTACACTCGCATGCGCCTGATGACGAGCGGGACAAAGGTCATCACTAAACAGGAGGCAGGACGAGGGCTCGAAGCGCAGTTTCGTGTTCTTGGTGAAGGTTTACCGGTTGTCCTTCCATATATCGACCCGAGCGTGATATTGGACGCTGAGTTTGCGACTCTGAAAACTCTTTTGATAACGTACTACCCGCTTTGCACATCATTTTCGGAGCCGTTCCGGTCTGTGATTGAGAACAGAAGTATGGCTCTTGCAACAACCATTGAATATGCTTGCTCATGTCTGGTTGCAGGTCCTGGGAGTCATATCGTCCGATTCCCAGCTGGTCAGTCGAATGATTCGACGTAGGTACATTATATTTTGGTGCGTGCATTTAGCTGACTTCAATAGGCTGTCACACGATCTCCTTCTACCTTTGTGGAAGTCTAATGTCTCCGTAACTCTCATGATCGACAAGAAAGCAAAAAGGTTCGTCTAACATGTTGTGCTGCATAGTTTCTTTGAGTAATCCACCCACCGTTCTTAGCGCGCTCAGTTTGCGACTTTTCGGTGAAGATGTAACAACAGCTGCGCGCGATGGTGGAAAGAAGGCGCCTCAAACATCCCAACTACCACAAAATTCAGGAGATGTAGTCCCGGATGAAGGCGCCGATAACGAGGATGAGGATGCAATCCTCGAAGATGAAGGTGACAATGAAGTATAGCAGTAATCCTTATAGCGAGTCCATTTTGTGCGCTACTCCCCCGGCGTCGTGGCGGCATACTTGTATTTGAACTTGTGATATAGTCCTTGGGCAAGCCGATTTGCAGATACTGTCGCACTCCCACCTTGCCCCCACCCGCAATAGTTGTGTTGCGATTCTAATGAGCCTTCCAGAGACTCATTCAACCTTCCACACGAGGGAGGACTTTGTGGTGTACACATGCGGGGTCCACTCCCCCGCAGTATTCGGAATAGTAGCATTATTAACATAGGTCTATGATTCGCTGAAAGACTCTGATTTATCTGTCGTCGTCAGATTCCTCCGATGTTGAGAATCTTATATTCTCGCATTGCATGTGGCGCGCTGAGATAATCTACTCTGATGACTTAGTGATGAGGCGAACAAGTTTCGTATTTTCATTTTCAGTGAGCTCCTCTCGTACTTTATCTCCGCTAGTCACTGCAGGGGCCATGTCCACTGATTGGACATCCCGCAGATCTCAACATCCGAGATACCAGATACCCATATAAGTTGTTAGTCATGGAATCAGATCATCTATGATCCCTTCGGTCTGCAGGTGATCCATTTTTACTTGTACAAAGTTCAAACTAGGAATTAACTGACGGTCTATATTAATGCATGCAGCATACACGCTTCACGAGAAGTTCAAGAAGCTAAACCACGACATAATCTCGAGGCCTAGGAACGACAGTCGCCCCTTCAATTTGCCTCCCCATTTTGCATCTTCCTGTCACCTTTTGACTTTCTGTACTAACCATATCCCTGGCAGTGGGCACGAATCTTACGATCACCCGGGCTACAGACACCGCCTCTGCTATTTTGCTCTAAAGCTGCATGGAGTTGCAGGGGCTCTGACCTAACTCATTGAAGTAATGTGTGACTCATTACTCGTTCGTATTTGGTTTTGACGCTCGCCAATAGGTGACTAAGAATGAATTAATTTCTCGAATTGTATCATCAACATGAGTTTGCCTCGAGTTGACTTGTCGGATGCGGCTCGGCAATCTGCAAGCGAATTGTCGATGAGGCGTACGTATGGATGCAAGGAACATGATCAAACATTGGCATGGCTTTAAAAGACATGTGGTCAGACGCTCCGGATACCCTAGTACCATCCTGAACATTCCACCTAAATCGCAATGAATGCAAAGTACGTAGAATCTAGTCAGGATCTTTGTGCTGTATTTTTCCAACTTTGATGAGTAGGAAGAATATCATCCTCTTTGGGCAGGCAGGGGCAGGAAAAAGCTCACTCATCAATCTCATGGCAGGAAAGAATGCAGCAGAGACATCCATGGACCTGAAATCCTGCACACTACGCTGGCAAGAATACCCCATCGAATTCGATGGCGGGTCTTATAAGGTGTTCGACACTGTTGGACTCGAGGAACCCCAGCTGGGAATCCCACAATTCCTCGATGCTGTCGAGAATGCCTATAAGCTCATCCAGGATTTGGAGAGCAAAGGCAGCATTGATCTGCTTCTATTTTGCATGCGCGCAGGCAGACTCACTGCTACGCTTCAAAACAACTACCGGCTCTTTCACGAATTCCTCTGTGACAAAAAGGTTCCCACCATTTTAGTGATCACGTACCTCGAAAATGAGGTCGGAGCGATGGATGACTGGTGGAAGAGGAACGATGAAATTTTCAAAGACCGGGAGGTCCATGTCGCTGGCCATGCGTGCATCACCGCCATCAGAGGCAACTTTGCACGCCGGTATGAAGAATCGCGGATCACGGTACGCAACCTTGTCAAGGAGTTCACTGCCGACGGGCAGAAACGAGCATGGAAAGGAGGTGACAACCTGTTCGTGTCGTTCATGCGTAAGCTGAAGGAGCTACTGGTGGGGAGTGGGAAATCGCGTATGAAGAAGGGTATGGTGACTCGCCTCACCAAGCGTTGCGGTATGTCTTCAGATGTCGCAAAGCAATTAGCTGATAGGATCAAAAAAGACGAGGTATAATGAGCTACTTGAATCCCTGTGTTCGATAACTTGTACTCGTCCAGTTGTAGACTTCTAAATCGTTCTCGGAAATATATCGTCATACGTATTCTACTCAAATTCTACTAATATTACACATGCTGAAGAAGAGTGACGAGCAAATTGATTCCTGCAGTGGTCGATTACTTAGTAGAACGTAATGAAAGGACCTCGGAAACTTTGTCAGGTACAATAACGAGAATCGATGTTTGCAAATTGTTGACGACGAGATGGGTGAAAATGACTGTGCAAGTGGTGATATACAAATGCAGCATGTTCGGTTATCCCCACAAGCAGAAACCGTGGACCACACCATCGATTCTGTCTGATAGGGGTCCGGTACAATGAGGGTCTGAACCAAGAATCGAAACAAAAAAGACAAAACACGCGAAGTGTGTGATGTTCGAGTGAGCTTGGATCACCCACCGTGTCCTGCTGATACCTTGCTGAATGAACGAGATCAGCGTGACGTAGGTGTTGAGTTCATCAGCGATCCAGTGCGGTGCCAATGTGGTTCTGAAGTGTGGTGTAATGTATCAAGCAACTGGTGGACTTGCCTGGCTTACTTGTGAAATATTAGAGTCTTCCAAGCCTGATTATCGCGGAGACTGATCCTCGCCGACTTGATTGGCCTGGATGCACCGCGCAGGTTGGTCAAGAGGCGTGCAGACCCGTACGGGTATTTTTCGCCCAGCCGGGATAAATGTATCATCCGAAGCTATGCCGGAGGCGTCCGACACTGTGCACGCCAAGATTTACATCTGGAGGGCGCGAGGTTTGTAGTTAGCTTGTATTGACACCATACTGCTATAACTTTGATAGTAAGTAGAATAACAAGAGCAACAAGAATCATAGCAGAAGCACAATCGACCAAATCGACCAGTTACATGCTCTCCAATGCTATCTGTATTGGCGCGCGTGGTCCATGACCACGATCATTACCACTAGCTGGCGCCATGAATGCAAACATCTCATGTTTCGACGATAGGAGGCGTTGGCAGCGATACGGTTGAGGCGGGAGACTGTGACGTTTAAAAAATAGCTCTGCAGAAAAACACTGCAGGTGGGTGTGGAGGGCTGGCTGCCACGGAGGTGAAAAAACCTGCTGACAGTGCAGCAGTGGAACGGAGGGGGAAGGCACCAGCACTGTGGCAGGGCATATCATCAACGTGTATAAGTGGTGCAATGAAAAATGAGGAGTCGCCTGGGGTGGACGACAACAGGAGGTCGCGGGCGGGCCAACGAGGCGGGAGGTCATTGGGGGGCGTACATGCTAGCTGGAGTTTGCTTGGCTGTTCGACTGTGTATATGGCAGTAAGTAATGCAGTTCCGTGTCGCCTGCCATGATGGGCATGGCCACTCACCCCGAAGGCGGGGTCGCGCAATCTGAAACCGCCAAACACGTCTGTGGCTGAGCGAACAAAGAACACTATGCCAGAATCGTCTCAATTTTAATATCAGAAATACCTAGACCTTTACACAATAAAATGTATCATAACGTAAAAGCACAATTTAAAACTCTACAACCGGACGAGTACAAGTGAAGCTATCGAACACGCACCGCGTCTTTCTTGATCCGGTCAGCTAACTGTTCTGCAACGGCTAGAGATACACCGCAACGCTGGGTGAGGCAGGAGATCATATCCTTTCTCACACGCGATTGCCCATTCCCCACAAGTAGCCCACTCAACTTACCCATGAATGACATGAACAAGCTGTTTCCTCCTATGATTGCTTGCTTCTGCCCGTCGGCAGTGAATTCCTTGACAAGGTTGCAGATCGTGACGCGCAATTGTTTGTATCGGGTTTGGTATCTGCAGTGCAGGCTGGCGGCAGCAGTGATACACCCATGACCAGCGACATGGATCCCATATCGGTGGAGGTTGTGGTGTTCGAGCTCCCACCACTCCTCCATCCTGGGACGGTGTTCAAGGCCCGTGACCACCAGAACGATGGGAACCTTCTTGTCACAGAGGAGTTCGTGAAAGAGTCGGTAATTGCTTTGAAGCATAGCATTTATTCTGCCTGCACGCATGCAGAGCAGAAGCAGATCAATGCCCCCTTGTCTCTCCAAATCCTGGATGAGCTTATGGACATTCTCGACAGCATCGAGGTAATGTGAGATTCCCAGGTGTGGATCATCGAGTCCAACGGTATCGAACACCCTATAAGACCCGCCATCGAATTCGATGGGATGTTCTTGCCAGTGCAATGTACAGCAGGCCATGCCGGCAGATGTGTCTGCTACGTGCTTGCCCGCAATGAGATTGATGAGTGAGCTTTTCCCTGTCCCTGTCTCCCCAATGACTACGACAATTTTCTGCCTCGTCCTATTTATTGATGTTAGGAAATTACGATGCAAAGATCCTGTCTGGATTCTATGTACCTTGCAGTCATTATAGAAGGGATGTTGTGAATGGTGCCTCGTAACGGCTCAGTGTGAACCCCTGTATCATTTGACAAGCGACACTGCTCAATGAGCTTGCAGACATGGATGTATGACTGGTCGCGGCGCTCGATGACCTTAGGTCCTGATATCATCGCTGTGGTGACACATGCGTGGCCAGCAAACGTCATCCCGACGTTTGAGATAGTTCGCTCATTGATCTTCCACCACTTTTCCATCTCTGGTTCGTAGGATTCCAAACATGTGACAACGAGGACAATTGGAACTCTCATCTTGACTATGGATTGGATGAACTTGTAGTTCCGGCGGAGTGTCAGAACGACTCGTTCACCTCGCACGCAGTACATGATGAGATGAATGTCGCCTTGCTTCATCAGAGTTCCAACGAGGCGCTTCAGAATTCTTCGAGCTTCCTTGTCGGGAACGGCACCTCGAGGGCCCTCGTCAAGACCTGCCATCGCGTTCAGTGACAACCATGAAGAGCGGCGAACTGAACCGACTGGGTGTATCGAAAAGCTTTACCTTCAACGTCTCGTTCTGAATCAAAATTTCGTGCGCGTTGGTTTCAGTTGTACATCCCCCAGCATCGGGGGATACCACAGCCATGTTCGTCCCAGCGATCAAATTGACCAACGAGCTTTTGCCAGCTCCGGCTTCGCCGAAAATGACAACATTGCATGTGTCTGTGCGATCTGGAGGTTTCCCGACTTCAATATAGTTGGAATCAAGTGCACTTTGATATGGATATGAGGTGGAGAGCTGGATTCAAGTTACACCTTATGCTGAGGAAGAGCAAAAAACCACTTACAACAGATGTCGGTCGTTTCTTAGAAAGTTTCCTCTGAGTTTGCATTGCCAGAATGACTCAACTCGAGACAAGACAGCGAAAAGTATGTCTTGACTTGTCCGTTTGGCGTTTTTGAGTGGTGTTCGTTCTGTTTCAACTATCCCCCGGTTCATTGAAACAGGAGTCGGCGTGCCCAGCCAGGCTGCCAGACACGATCAACGAAGACGCATGGATTCAGCATGTTCCGTACACCACGTGAGAACCGGACATTGGGTGGCGTAGCTGTGCGAGCGAATATCACAACCATGTTGCCTAAATGTATTGGGCTTCGTACATGCGACTAGCTGCAGGATGAAGATCCAGTTGTGCACTTGGCAGTAAGTACATACTCGATCGATAACTTGATTGGGTTTGACGACATCGTCTTTCATCGAATAGACACTGACAAAAATATTATCTCACTCAGGTGCTTACGGGTCCTTGCCCTGTGCATGCCGCCAAGCTACTCAAAGTTGATTCAAGCGCTTGAAGCAGTCCACACCGTGTCAACGCCATCTCATTGTCTCCGAACAACCACCTCCTTGCTAGTGCATCATTAGATGGATCAGCGCGTCTATGATCTTCGATAAATTATTGGTCATCTCGATCATTCTTGTTTCTGCCCTCAATCAACCTTCGAAGGAACGGCTCATCAACATTATTCCTTCTATATGATCTGGCTACGTCCTCGGTCCTAGCCCCTTCGTCTGTCGCACCGTCGTCATCATTGTAGCAACCCCACAAACCCTCTTCGCTCGTCGCACTATCATCGTTATTTGTCACTTGGCGTGCTATTTGAGCCTGCAGCATGGATTCAGCATGTTTCGTGGCGTAGTTCTCGAGCTCACCACTGTACCTAAATCCGATGGGTTTTGGACATGCTAGCCGGAGTTGACATAGCTACAGAGCGAGGGTTTGGCTGTAAGTACTGGAGTCCAGATCACCTACATGTTGTAAGGAGGATCCACCTCACATATGATACTTAAACGTACCCTCTGCTTCCTCTACCATACAGCAGGACTCTGCGATGGGGAAGTGCAAAAATTTGCCCCACATTTATATATCCTCTTACACCCCAACTCCGCGACACTCATTCGTGCGAGACGAGCCCATTCAGTCACATACCCTGTATTTTACAGGCAGCCGAGGTTGACAATATCCTGTTCCACACAGGCCAGCGGACGTCGGCCGACCGAATAATGTTGCCCGTGGCTAGCGTTCGGCCGACGGGCTGACAGTAAGACAATGTTAACAGCTGGGCCCATAGGTAGTGGTGTTTGATATTTACATGTCGGCCGGTGGTACATCAAAAAATGGTAGTGGAGGAGGGTGTATGATGGTATCAGGTGGGCCCATGATTAATATAGTAGCTGCGAGATGCAGGTCGGCCGACCATGGGTGTGAAGCCATCATGTCGGCCCATCCAAAATACAGTCTGTTGGTATCGGTCGGCCGATGAAGAAAATGTTGTTTGTGTGGTAAACAAATGTTGAGCATCAGGGAATTGAATGGGTGGATGCAAACGAATTGCCGATGTTATCAGATGGGCCGATCCAAACGAATGGCTGATGGAATCAGATGGGCCGATGTAAACTAGTAGCTGATGTCATCAGATGGGCCGATGTAAACTAGTAGCTGATGTCATCAGATGGGCCGATGCACACCCAATTCTATCACACCGGCCGATGGAAAACGAATTGCCGATGTTATCAGATGGGCCAATCCTAACGAATGGCTGATGTCATCAGATGGGCCGATGTAAACTAGTAGCTGATGTCATCAGATGGGCCGATGCACACCCGATTCTATCACACCGGCCGATGGAAATGGACACCCGATGGAATCAGATGGGCCGATTCAAGCGAATAGCCGATGGAATCAGATCGGCCGATCGACAGTTGATTCTATCAGGTCGGCCCATAGAAATGAAGTCCTGATGTAATCAGGTGGGCCGATGCTGGCTTGATACCATCAGGCCGGCCGATGGAAATGAACACCCGATGGAAAACGAGCAATCAAAACTAGTAGCTGATGAAATCAGATGGGCCGATGCACGCCCGATTCTATCAGGCCGTCCGATGGAAATGAACACCCGATGGAATCAGATAGGCCGATGTAAAATCGTAGCTGATGGCATCAGATGGGCCGATGCACGCCTGATTCTATCGGGTCGGCTGATGGAAATCAATACCGGATTCCATCATATGGGCCGATGCAAATGAAGTCCCGATGCCATCGGGTTGGCCGATGCAGGCTTGATTCTTTCGGGTCGGCCAATCCAATGTGTTATCTGTAAGGATCGCCTCGCCAACGTCGCTCCCGGCACACATCGGTCGGCCAAGGTCAGGTGACTTCAGCTCTTTAATAATGGCCAATATATGCATCTCAGCAAATCAATGTGATACATGAGATGGTCTTGAATGTCTATATAATGATGCAACCCTCTAAGCTTGAACCATGACATCCCGGCCAACATCCATGTATGTTGCATACTGTGTCCGAGGTGTCCCAACAAAATTGTGAAGGCTATCACGAATGAACCATGCCCACACGATGCGATCGCCGGTGAATGTCACGCCATGCCTGACCATGTGTCCAGAGCAGCTGACCATGGCGCCGGAGTTATATTGTAATCGAATACCTAAGTTGGACAGCGTCATGATTCCTTCTGAGTAATTGCCGATACTGGTCATGAGATCAAACCCATCAGGTGTGGAGCTTGGATCTCGGTGAGGGGGACATTGTCTATTGCAGATGACAGCGGTGCAGTTGAACACCGAGGCCCAAAGTTGCAAACGCGTATAGATGTCAATGAGGTCATTTTCCTTTGCCCATTGACCGAGCTTAATCTGGGTTGTGACCGAGGCCCAATATAAGTCAGGATGCATGACCCGAAGAGCCGCCGAGGTCAGCAATGCCGAGTGCTGCATGGATAATATGACCACCGGACCACCGTCACCCTTTAGTGCAGCTGATACCTCCGGTGTGAAACCACCAGATGGGGGAAAACCCTGAGGCTAGAACCGCCGAGTGAGCACTAGGATCCCCTGACACAAACCGGTCGGTCTCACCTCATGACCTTGTTGGAACCAGCAAGGGGCGATATTGATACATCCTGGTGTTAGAGGGCTGCCATTGCTGCTGTGAAAATATTTGGAGAATGTTCTCCACTTGGTCTGTTGTCCATTGGTCATACTTTTCTTCAGGAGATGCCCCATATTCACTGTGGCTTGTTCCATCTCGGCCTGGTGGGGGGTGTCAACACCGGACTATGTAGGATGATAAGCACCCTCACTTCAATCCAGTGGGTAATTGCATTCGGAAGATACCATGCAATAATCCGACCGCCGGAATCCACCAGGACCGAGGGCTTCTCCAACAATTGTTGGGGACCATGGGGGAATTTTTGGAGCAGAACATCTTCATGCTTTGGAATCCGGCCGGTAGAACGTCGGTCGAGAGCTTCGTTGTAGCGAACCATGTCAAACTTCAGGTACACTGGAATGTGTGAATGAGCGCCAGGTTAAATGATAGGGATTACCGACCGGGATTGCAATACGCATCAGCAAGAACCTGGGCTAATTGCCGACATGCTAGCATGGTTCGCACATCCAGTTCCAGTGGCGGAAATACCGAGTTTTGTCGGCCAACAACATATGAAATAAAGAGGAGGTATACAAAGTCACAGGCAATGTTGGTGGTATGCAACGCACAGTCAGTTGGAATTGAGATCATTATTGGGGGAGAGGAAGAGAAGGAATGATTTACAAACTAATATATACCAACAACCGAGACACATGTAGTAAATCTATTTACATTTCCAGCATTGTAAGTCAGATCGGCAATTAGGCCGAATGTAAAGGAATTGTATGTAATATCATCCCTCATCCCTCATTGTCCAAAGGAGTAAAGGAATTGACCAGTGCCTGCTCCACTTCATCGATCGGTGCCTCTAGTTGTGTCATGGTGGCAGCGGCCGCTGCAGCGATCCGAGTTTTTTCCTCCAGTAAATCTTCCATCGCTTGACCGAGAGCTAGAAGATGGGCCCTGACTGCCACAATCTGATTGAAGAGTGCATCACTTTCAACCTGATTAGTGATCACCGGGCCGGGAACAAGCATGGTACCCATCGGCTAAGAGGTATGATCGGTAAAATGTCAGAATAGAACAGGAAAATGACTTACCAGTCGCTCAAAATGATCTTCGGTCATCTCCATGACTTCGCTGACATTCAAGATAGGGAGTTGAAACCCCAGAATATCGAACCGGTCCTTCCACCAATCATGGTGGTAGGTGCTGACGATTCGGTGATTGGACCAGAGTCGTTGGTCATTGGGAGAACATTCTGTGTGAAATTCCTGGAACAATTTTTCGGCGGTGATGGACCCGGTTTGTAATCGGGCAAAGCATGACATGACGCTGCGGAGGAGGGCAGGAATGGTCGGATGAATATTCATCACAAGGCATATGTTTGTGTAAGGAAAGACAAATGCCTGATCAATTAATTAGCCATTGTGTCATACAACCGAACTACCAATAAGGTACTCACATCTACCTCCCATTGCAGGTGCCGGACGAAACTTGCCTTGTATGCCGCTGTCCGATTCACATGGCTCCGGTCCAATGCACGCCAGATTGCGGCGAATCTGGATGTTGCATATTCCAAGACATTGGCAGCATCCCATGCAGTGAAGTCACTGATTTCACGAGTTGAAAGGGTGCTGGTTCCAGACATGATTTGTGTAAGTGTAGCTAGATGTAATTGAAGTGTAAATCAATGAAGGATGGCGATATTTATAGGAATCGGCATTGTACTTGTGACTGATCTAATGTGACGTTTCCCATTGTCCAAATGCGGTTGTGGCCGTATGTGGACCCCTGTCACTCTGCCACCCTGAGCTACCCCTTTTGTTCTTTCAAAGCTGTCTTGCGCATGTTGTGAGAGTCGGAGATAAATCTGGGCCTGTCGGGCGGCATAGCACCGGTGGCCGATCATGTTATTTGCGTCGGCCTCTTGCATTCGGCCAACCCATTGCTCGGATTTATGAATGAAGAATTGAACTGTCCATGTCATTTCTCTACCGACCAGCAGCAGTTCCTCCGCCCAACGATCCCGCAATGCCATAGTCCGAAGCCAATGGACGCGGTAAACTGTGACAAGAAATTAGCTCGGATCGGCACAAGGTCGGTCGGAGAAGTGCACACATTCATCCATCCAGTCATTGCTTGTGGAGTCCCCCTCAACATCAATGGACCAGAACCATGCCAGCGTGCTATTCCTTTGACCGCGTGCATTCGGGTCGGCCACTACTGTAGTAGCCTTGAGGTCCTCCTTCTGCAACGGCCGATATTTCGTGAGCAAGTCATCGGCGCCGAGGCTGATGAGCTGCCTGCGGCATTTAGAGTAAATCTGAGTGTTCAAATAAAGAACCTTGTCGACCGAGTGCACCTGAGCCCATGCCCTGGTCGACCGAGCTTGTGATTTTGCCGACCGAACTGTTGTCCGAAAGAGAACAGCTTTGTCGGCCAAATTAACCCTGATGGCATGCAAAGCGTCATTTGCCTGGCCTTCTCTTAAAGATATTTCTTGCAGCACAAGGTCGGCGACGCCCCACTCGGCACACCTTTCAATGCCGATATTGGACGGCAATGGAATAACCACGGTCTCGGGATTGAACTCCACCGGCATATCATCGTCCTCATCATCCGACCGATCGGCATTGTCAGACAATGAACCTACCGACTCCAATTCTGCGGCATCCAACATGACGTTCATGACATCCAACTGGTCATATCCTTCATATTCATCGCCGAGAAATGTGACTGCGATCCTGATGAATTCATCGAGTTGGCCTTGCAATCTATCTCGGCGCCGAGCCATTGCGAGCTTTTGGGTGTCGGTCGGCCTCCTTCCCAGCTTCTTCACGTCAATTAGGAGGGCTACCTGGGCCTCCTCAAGCGTAATTCCAGCGGCCAGCCAAGTCACAGCACCGCGGTGGAGCTCGCCGGCCGGCCATCTTGCCTGGCGATTCAACAGGCGCAACTCTTGCTGTTTTTTCGTCGGCGCTTGATGGAAGTCGATGAGCATGTTGTAGATAGGAGTTGCATTCCGACCGACCTTTTGTTAATTTAACTTCATATATGTCCATGGCACTGGGATTTTCCAGTCGGTCATTCTGAGCGGCATCGGCCTCGGCCTCCCATTTTGCAAGGGTTTCTTCGTCGGCGGTCTCGCTCAACCGGTCAAATGCATATCGGCTGTCCTTCACTCCCTTCACAGCTTCCTTAAATTTCCGGCAAAGGAATTTGCCTAGATGCATCAGGATCTGTGAGCTCGGCGACGAATTATTACTTACTCATGCGAATCATCTTCATAAAATTGCAGTCGTTCATTTGATAGTCCAAGCACTCCTTTCGGTGTGGGGTGGACATCCCCCTCGCCGACGGTGATATAATATTCAATGGCGCCCACAAGGTCTCCATTATTTCGCCATCTATCCTGGCGGCGCCGGTAATGAAGTTGGAGGCATACCGGACGTAGCATTTGTCTTGATGTCCGTGAACATGCCAGAGGCCGATGCCAGGAATGATGTCCATGCCCCATGGAAGGCCGAGATATGGGGATGCGTCAATCCTCTGGTTGAGATGCTTGTGGTATTGACAATTAATGTCGTAGAATGTGAATGCTCGGTCGATGCCGTCGGTCTTGTAGGACAGGGCTTGGCACAGCGCATAATCCATGTTCATCTGCCTTCGGCCAGACCGACGCATCAGTTCAACCCGGCCAATGCAGCGTTTAGAAAGACGAACCTTTCCCCCTTTTGAAAGTCCACCATGGAATGGGGAACGAAACATCCATGTCTGGCGCAAGCACACCCGCCGATGCCGGTTGCTTCGAGCTTGTGCCGAGATGCATTTGCTTGGTTGACCGCTCGGTGATTGTTGCAATCAGATCTTTGATTGGTATCCTGCGCCTCGGCGAGATGCATTTTGTATCGGGCATCGCCGACCATGAATCCCAAGCCGTCGGTCAAGGCCACCTCGTCGGTCGGATTGGCAGGATGCAAGTGCTCGGCCTTAAAATTGCCATCCATCACCAAAGACCTGGAATACAGCCAGGCAGGGTCGGACCGATTCCTGTCTGCCAAATGGAAATTGACGCCGGACTGCGGACATGCAGGACAGAAGAGGGCGAGCTCCCCTGCCTTTGGCTTTCGCTTCTCATGGCCGAACCCATGCCACTTGAGCTGTTTGAGTTGTCGCCACTGTCTGCCGACCCGCATCAATTCCCGGTATCGGTCCTGTCGACAACAATCAGCGATGAAGTGCTGCACATCGGCATCACTCACCGGCACCAAATGAGGGAAGACGCTGGAGGTGACACGCCTTAGCTTACTGTAGTAATTCATTGCCGACGTGCCGCATTCCAGATTGTCCAACAGGAAGTCGTCCAACACAGCAAATGTGAATACTGTCTTCGGCGAAATGAAGGATGCTGGGAAGAGGCCGATCTCGAATAATTGCATGTCGGCACTCGGCGCCCCGGGACACTGGCACAATCTGATGGTCAAGGAGTGGAGCCCCGATGTATCCACGACCATTATAGTGCGAGGATCGTTGACCAGGGGTATCCAAGGTCCTTCGGTCAAATGATCCCCTTCATCATCTGTGTCATACCAGTCGTCGGTCATCCCGGGGCAAGGCTCTCCTGCATGACCGAGATGGATTTCCAGACCGATCTTGGTCAAGGAAGTGTCCTCGAAGAATCCTCCATTCCATTGACTGATCCGATGGAATGGCATGCGGCTATGAGCAGTCCTACAACAATGAGTGCAAAAGAGAGGCTTGCCCATGCAGCCGTCACATTTGTAGACTCCGTCCTTTGGACAGACCGAGCAAGTTCTGTCGGAAGGAGGACCCTCCCGGCGAAGGAGCAGGTCCAAGTAGTCATCAGTCTTATCCTTCCACTGACGCAGGTAGTCATTTTGACTCTTGATAGATACTCGGCATCAATAAATGGAAAGAGGAAAGGCAATGGTGAGCTTGCCATGGACTTTCGAAGCCGACAAGGCTCCAAGTTGTAATCGCCGAGGTCGTAGTGTTGATAGTCATCCTCCCGATGAAGTGTTCCGGTGGATCCCTGCTTGGTAGGTGATTTCCTGGGGGATGAATGCACTGATTTGCTTCTGTTTTCACGTCTAGCATTGACAAATCGACCTTTATCTCCCCTAGTTGTTCTCTTATCCACCCACCGAACCAAAGAGGATGCCTTCGGTGGACTCCAGGACTTTGGCTTTGACTTGACCATGGACCGAAGTCGGTTTGGGATTGCCTGGATGCGTTGTTTGGAAATTGAATGCTTAGATATGATACAATTTGATGCTTATATGCGACTGCCAAATGCAATCTATCATATGTAATAGTCACTTTCATCTCTTGCAAATCATCAGCATGGATATTTGTGGAGCAATGTCAATGGTGTATATTGATTATGCATATGATATGGTGAGAGCACATCAGGACCTGTAGTTTTACTGGACATACCCACCCTTGCATCAACACCACTAGATATATGTCCTGTAGCACTGGGATCACACTTCGGTACAATCTAGCCCTTACGTGTGCTAATG